ATGCTGATTAAAAAAAAAAAACAGCCTCGAGTGGACGTATCATTAGATCCATCTCCATCATTCCCGCACATCAGCACGACTGGATTCTTAAGCCTACAGGTGTGATAATTTCCCATCCAGGGATTGAGCTGACGGTAATGTGGGTCAATCCCTGATTAAACCCAACGGCACACACACTGACTTAATCCCCTTCACTTTCATTACCTGGAGTTGTTAGCTGCTGCAGCATCCCCTGTTCACCAGCGCCTTTAACCAGATGAGTGTGAAGCCCACGGGTCACTGAGCTACTGGGGTCATTAAATCAAACACATGGATGGAAATTAAAACAGCAGAATAAAACCCCGTGGGTCAGGGAGACCATGAAGAGGTTGAAAGACCTAATGTTGGGAACAAAAGCTTTTACATCAAGAACTGAGGCTAAATAAAAGCTGTTTCCCTTTGAATACACCGATAAGGAAGCTTCTGGAAGAAGAATTCAATAAAAATGCATTGGATTGAACTGGAGAGAGAATAGAAAAATGAGACCAACAACACTCCCCCAAACTTTGGTTTAACAAACCTTTGACCTCGGATCAGCAATGTGTTTCGAGTTCATGATGAATCCATGCATAACTAGCATTGCTTCACATTAAATGCTTATGGAACTCATTAAATACTTAATATCAATAGACGTATTAATGAGAAACAGACTCCAGTCTGACGCTGGAGGAATCTGAAGAGTCAGTTATTTCTTATGGAGAGGAATTTGTTGTCACACATGTATTACAGTATATGATCCCAACAAATGGATCTTATTTTTCCTCTAAACAAATACAGTAACTGATCATTACCAAAGCAAGGCATGACGCCAGATTCTTGACATTCCTGTCCCGTCCTGTCATCTGACTCTGTGTCCCAAATCCATACATCCACTCAGTCTCTCACAAACACAGGGTACTCAGTACCCTCAGATTCCCCGCCGCTCGAAATTCTGTTCGACTCGACCTGTGACCGAGATGGCGGCCCAGCCTTAGCTCTGTGACCCCAGCTGTTCACATAGGGAAGAAAGGATCGCCCTGGGTCACTGCGATGGAAAGGAAGATTCTGTCTCTCCGGACAATAGCTATATTCTGCAGGAGGACGACTGGTACGTGGGAATTTAACCGTCCAGACAAAAAAATGATCAGCCATCACGGAAGACATTTTTGGTCCTGGACATTTTAGATTGATGATCAGGACTAAATGTCTGGAGTGGTGCAGTGGTAGGAGGCTCTGGGTACGGTACCACCGAGTCCACAGATGCTAAGTTGAGAACCCCTGATGAAACAGGGACAGTGGGAAAGTGATTCTACAGTAGAACTGTTACCAATGTAACTGATTGCGTCCCACAGTAAAGCCAAGGGACGACTCATATGACTTTAACAATACAATAGTGTTGTCCAACAACATTTTATCAATATATAAAATGTATAGAGTGGATTGCACTTGGGGATCTACGGAGTTTGAAAATGTAATAAATAAATGCTTCTCTCTACTTGACTGAAAAGTTTGAAGAAAGAAAACGGCAGTTTTTTAGCCTGGAGGAAAAGTCTGCACAATTGCACATTCATCAGAGGTATTAACTTCCAGTAAAAAAGTCTGATCTGAATTTGTGTTTTGCTGAGGGGTCTGAACAAAACTGGTATTACCAGGATTATCCAATCCAAGAACGCAACTAAATTTAGCTCTTTAAGAAACACAGCTGCTGAGTCGGTCTTTCTGAAGTGCTTTTTGAAGACAATCTGTTTTTCTAACCGCTGCTGATGCATTGAATAGATACCACAACATTGGTTGTGGTGGCCATCTGCACGACAGCCTCTGTGTACCGTCCTCCGGCAGTATGTGAGTGTGACCTCAAATTAACATGTCAGTGGGGAGAGAATATCTCCAGTGTTGTGTGTTGCCACTGTTGTGCCAGAGCAAACACAAACACACAAGTTCCTGCAGCACTGTTTTCATTATAGACTATTTTTCAAACCAGATGCGGAGACGATCGCTGGCGCATACTCTCATCAGTACCAGTAAGGGTATCCATAGAGACTGTGAGCAAAATATAAACTGTTTGTTCAAGAAACTGTCTGGTCTGGAGACTGGTTATTTGGAAGGATGTTGGGAAGTGCTTACAAAGCAGTTTTTAAAGGACAAAAGTGACAAAAGTCTCTTAGCTTGCAGAGTTGGGTGAACGTTTAATGGCCCTTGCTTACAGAGAGCATGTGAAAGGAAGTGGTGCTGAACTGATTCCCTGCATGACTTTACATGTGTGGGGAGAACTGTGTCATGTCAGGCCTCATTGTGAGAGAAAAAAACTCTTGATTTTCCTGTATTCTGAGCTGGCTGCTTCCAGTCATCCTCCTGCAGGATCCTTACGTAACACTTCATATTGGATCACTGCTTTCAGCTTCAATACAGAGCCACTTGGATGTCCGCTGGAAAATCTGTAACAGGCTTCACTAGTTTCCAGATCAGGTCTCTTTTCGGTCATTTGAACAATTTTTGCAGAACATAAAAAACTCACGACATAAACGCCAAGTCTTAAAGTCTTACTGTTGAGTTCAACAAAGGAATTCTGCTGGAGTGTAGTTTTAGTTAACATGCAAAAACAGAGGTTACTACATGGTACACATATATAAAAAACAATATATAATTAATGTCCAAACAGGGACCGGGAAATGGCAGAGACGGACATGATAAGATTACGAGTATTACTGCGGTGGTATTGGTTTATTAAGTGTTTTTTTTCTCAACATGAGCTTTGGGGGAAAAAAATCAAACTCTTGGACCAAAACTTAAAAAACATAAAGATTAGACGGGACAACACTTAGATCTAAGTTTGCTGAATCTGATAGGAAACATTTGGGTAACTTCTTTTTGTTTAGTACTTTTGATTTCATCTTAGGTTTAGCGACATTACGAAAAAGATACCAACACTTCAACAGAGCTAGCCGATGAATTTAGCACTTAGCACAAGAGTTGAACCTACGGACTATAATAACCCCCAGACATTGTTTGTTGATAATGCAAGTGCCATGGAGTGGGTTGAGACATTGTGGGATGTTAATTATTTGGAGTACAGTAAACTGTTTATGTGCATCTGCCCCAACAGTAGTCGTATCGTACGTAGAGGAAAACCCTGATGATTTCCTAACCTCTAATGAAAACAGAAATCTCTGTGAGTTAATAGAACCTCTCCTGTAGTATTACTTTGAGTATGTGTTTTATTAGTACTACAGGCGAAGCGACATTTCTTCCACCTCTGAGAACGTGTGAAACTACTCTGGCTCGGCCTCAGCTCACAGCCGGAGAGGCTCCTCCAATGTTGGACCAGGTTTAGATGTGGGTGTAGAAAATTCCTGCCTTGTTTATGTAACCTCCGCAGCACAGTGGTCACAGGACTCAGCACGGTGTCTGAGTGGAAACCTTCAGTTTCCTCTGATTCAGTGATTACTAAAACTGTATGAGTTGCAGATAAAAAAAACCATCCTTAATATCCATAAATAGACGTTTGAGTCTTTGAAAAAGGCCTTTGTCGACCTCTATCATTTGTATTGGACTACACCTGCTCTATGCAGGTGTGTTTACCGCTATTGTATTCTCGTATTCAGCATGAGTCAGTTAATTTGTTTTGGGAGATTAAAAATGATTTAACTACCTTGTCACAATAATTATTCCAATGAGCTGGAAAGGGAGCGTTAGGGCGACTAAAAGAGTCAGAGATTGTCGGGAAAAAAAAGGAATTGTTGAAATGGAAAACCGAGTCCAGACAAGTGAGTCAGTGGACACTGTTTATTGCAAATGTCTAGTTGGGACGTCATAGAAAAACACTTTAAGACAGACCACCCTCTTTGTAGGTGATTGATCGTTGAATGACTAGTAAGACTGGATCTGGACCTGCTCTGTGTTGGCTGATTGTTCTTTTTCCTTCTCAATGAGCTCAGACGTTCAATCCAAAAGAACAATTTTGCAAATGAGTAAATTTATGGACAATAGTATCAAACCAGGTATGAACATACATGTGTTTTTCCTGTCCTGAAAAGTCCAAACTACTCAACAAGTTTATGCCTTTTCTGTGGTAACAAAATGACAAGGTTTATTTCCAGAAAAACAATGATTAGTCTTGATCATAATAAATAGCGCAACGACCGCATTCATCTACCTCTGAGATAACGAGTCAAGATATAATGAATCGGACATGAAGGGCAGTATCTAATTAATAAGTGGATTATGTTGTATTGTACTTGCAATGACATTTTGAGCGTGATCCCAACACACAGGACAATTTAGGTTATGTGTGTTATTTGCGATTTCATACTTCGGGGGTAAACTGAGAAACTATGTTTTCGCTGGAATATGTGATTTGTTTTTTATTTTTATATATATTATTATTACCATTAATATTACTAATATATATAAGTTGGAGAATGATGTGAATCAGAAACAATTTGGACCTGTAAGGACAAGATCATCATCATCATCAACGTTATCAGTGTTGAGAATGACTATGTTAACAACATACTATCCCATCAGTATAACCGGCATTTAAAATACTGCAGAAAGCCCTGCACTGTTCAGCTAATACCTGTATATGGGTACTACGTTCCTATCAGACCAAGCCACTACATGCAATACGGTAACACTTGAAACTAGAATGACAAACGCATACAACATATATGGATGCATTTAAGGACCTTAAGGTGACCCGCCAAATCCTAAAAAAAGATCACGGTCCGCCCTGTACCACTAGAAGGAGTCCAAGTACCTCCAATGTTAAGCGCACCCCAAGTTGAGCCAAGCTCTAGTCCCAACTGTAGCTGTTGTCCTGACACATACGTCGTGCAACATGTCAAACTGGCAAGTAAGTACAACAAGTAAGTGTGTTGTTTAAAAAAGAAAGAAAAATATCCACAAATTCCATCACATACAATAAAGAGAGAGAGAGAGAGAGAGAGTTCATCAGTTTAAACAGGGGAGTCTCACGTTCTTACCGAAATCGGGGAGAATCCTTGATACAATCTTCAAAATCCACCGTCATTGTCCCAGACTGGAGTTAAACACTTTTCCACACACTCAGAATTGGAGTTTCATCTCCCGGGGCTGAACAAACCACAGACGTTAGTATCCAAGAGAGAGAGAGAGAGAGTTCATCAGTTTAAACAGGGGAGTCTCACGTTCTTACCGAAATCGGGGAGAATCCTTGATACAATCTTCAAAATCCACCGTCATTGTCCCAGGCTGGAGTTAAACACTTTTCCACACACTCAGAATTGGAGTTTCATCTCCCGGGGCTGAACAAACCACAGACGTTAGTATCCGCTACAGTGACACTGCCTCGGTGTTCTGCTCCTGCACTGTCCGCTCCCGCCTTCACTCTGTTCGGCTCTGGTTTAATCTGAGCAGCCGCTTCTTCCAGCTGCACTGTGATGCGTTCAAGGACAACTCCCACAATTTGAAGAAATCAATGCAGGCAAACTACACGTCTGCGCTTCAGCATTGAATCAAAACATTAAGTTTATTTCCTCCAAACTTAACACTGCTTAAATGAACACATAGAAACCTGACGTTTTTCACGTTATAGCTTAGTATCAATCATCTTACGTCCTAATTTAAAATAAAACAGCAAACATAACATCCAACCCAGTTAACATTTTGACAGATATCTTTAACCTGTGTTTAAAAAAATGCTAAATTTGAATTTTATGGTAATACAGATATATTAAGGCTATTTTTTGTACCTGTTTCGGTTTCTGATCATCGATTGGTTGAGTCATCTACAGCTCCACCCTCATGAACATGAGGATTTGTCTACCAAATGAAGTTGGCAGCACACATTTGCAATACATTTTAATTCTTTGTCAGGTTTGTTCTTTGTTATAAATGTCGTGATCTCGCGATCTGCATTCAACATTTATTTCTATTTAAATATATATATATATATATATGTCACCGGCTGGTATTATAGTACAATGCAATCAGACTGTCAGTTTTATGAAGTTGTCATTAAAAACTGTGCTTTGTGACGTGGGTTTTAATGGATAAGCAGCTCCAGGAATCACGTTTTTTTCCTCACTTATCTCAAATATGTCGACTTTACTTGTGGGATAAAGTCAAGCACGATTATTATTTTTAACAACTACAACTTTAATATTTACCGATTGCACGTGGAGGCAGCACATGCTCGTGCCTCGTGAGTTCGATGGTGACGTCACGTTTCCATTCAATTGAATGAACCAATAAATACAACTTTTACTACACAATAACGTCATTAAACGCCCCCAGAAACTCTACTCTCTCTCAGACTGGGATGTCTAACATCAAATTAAACCAGATTTAATATATAATATAAATTACATTTACTCTCGAATAGGTTGTAATTTGGCCGAATGATTGATTCATCCTTTTAAATATTTTATTATTACATTTTCAAAAATAGTATATAATAATATTCAAAAAAAAACTATTGAAACTAATATTTCCTTAACACTAACAGTAAGAATAACTATTTTAAAAATGCCGTGAAATCAGGCTATTCTAAGCACATGCGTTTCCCTAACAAGGCTATTAATATTCAGCGGAAATAGGAAAGGCTGCTGAAACAGCGCCAGCCCGGGATTTCACTGCAGGCTTTCATAGAGCACCATTGTTCCTTCCGGTCCATGTTTGATAAAGGCTGCAGCTCAGGACGTGAATGGAGATGATGTCATCCATTCTCGGCACAGAGTCTGACTAAATTCCGTCATGATTAAAAAAAAAAAAGAAATTCAAGGAAAGACACGGGGTGAATTGCTTTTTTTGAATCTCCCTCCTCCTTCTTTGTAGAGTTCTGGAGAACTGAAATCCAGTTCCTTTCAAATGTTCTTTTACTACAAGAAAGCAGGTGGCGCTAGATCAAAACCTGTTGCAGACGTTTTGAACAAGTTAACATTCACGTTTGGTTAAAAAATGTGGTTTTTGCTTTGATTTCAGATTGTTTTTTATCCTTTTATTTAAGGATGAACTGACTTGATTAGATTAGACACAGAAATAATGATTAAAACTTACTTTTTTACTCATTAAAATGAAAAAGTTAAAATAATAACACCTGCCTTAGTATTTTCTCTATAAAATATGGATACTTTTATTATTATTTTTACTTTTTTTAAAATGCTTTAACAAAATAAGTGTATAGTACGATGTGATTGTACACTGTCACCATTGTCACTGCACTGTTGCAGGAGTTTGGAGGGAAAAAATGAACAAAATCTATTCTCGAATGTGGTGTTGAACAGGTTTGTACGTCAGCGAACGGACACGCAAGAGCGTCTGCGTATCATTGATTATACAGTGACACCTGGAGTCAAAGGGATGTAATTACAAGCGGTGTGCTGAGCAGCGTGACTCCGGGCTCCTTATGAAGACGAGGGGAAAAAGTAGGTCACACTGACTGAGACCCACACATATTGTCTGATTTGAGGAGGCGACATGTAACACTGTTGGAAACAGGAAAGCTGGAGGACACGGAGCGATTCACAACACCACCACCGCCGTGGCAAAAATAAAATGTAAAACAAGTCAGTATTACTCACCAATTGTCCAGTTTTAATACTTCCCATCTCTGAGATTAGAAACTGAGACACCTGTTTTTTATTTTTTAAAAATACTCATTTTGCCACAGAAAAATATATATAAATATGTACATTAAAAAAAAACAAAACAAAAAAAAACAAAAATCCGCACCTGCAGTTTTAGTATTTAGAACCACATAAACTGACTTACAACGCTGCCCCCTTGTGGTGACACAGTGGTAGTGAATCCATTAATTTAATTCTGTTAAAAAAAACGCAAAAATTCGTTGTTGATTTTCACAATATTTCATAATAGTGTCATTGAAAAATCAATAGAGAGATGAAGCCTTACTGACTGAGGCTGAGCTGCTGTCGCTCTGATTGATGGTGGTCACGTCATCGTCCCTGACCGCAGACCTTGATGCTCGCATTAAATACCTGGGAACATGCTGGAAAACAAAGTCGATACTTTGGTAAAATAAACAAACAATATGATGACTATTACTGCGTCAAAAGTTATGCAATTATAAGGGATTGACACTGATATATGTTTATGCACGAAAGTATCCGCTGTAGATATGAATCGAGTTATCACAGGAAGTCAATGCGATAAAAAACGTTAAAATAAAAAGAAACTGACCTTTTCTAAATTTACGGGCCTTTTAAATAAAAATATACCTTCAGAAGTACAATTAAATTAAATTTGACTGAATTATTATGGTATTATGGAATTATTAGGTAACTATACCAGATCATGTGATTAATCACAATTACAATAGTTTTCGTGATTGTCAGTCCTAAAAGGCGGCTTTGTTGATGGAACATGTAAATATTCTAAAGGAAACCCTGAGGGTAAAAAAAAAGGGTGGCGGAGAAAACAGACTCTTTACATTATGTAGACAGTAAAAGTGTGTCTGTGGGCGGTGGTGGCGGGCGACCTGGAAGTGGGTTTTTCCATGCACTGTGCTTGGTGCAGCCGTGCACTTTTGAGAAAAGCATCAGTCACAGCGATGTGTGGTCGTGGTGTCACAACACTGTACTTCCACTGACTGGTTTGTCTCAGACCTCTTCCTGTCGATAGCTTAAATGAGTACTGCTAACTACACTCACATGTTATTAAAACGACTTGTTTATATACTGTCATGTTCAGTGTGGATCATCATGAATGACCTGCAGCTTTTCTTATACAGTAAAGTATAAAAAAAGAGTGTAAAGTCAAATTTTGTTTAAATCAAAATAAAATTAACATTTAATTTGATAACTTTTTATACCGCATTACTTGCTCTTTAACCTTTAAAACAGGAATACAATTATACAAATTAAAATATTTGTTCTGAGAAGTGTTCACTGACCCAGGTTGTTGGTGTTCGAGGACTAGAGTCAGCGCTGGTTCCGCTCCGGAGCCTGGTACTGCGTCGTCGTCCCGTGGAGCTGCTGGGTCGATTTGTAGTCGAGACTCTAAGCCGGTTTGTGATCAATGCAGGACCATCAAAGTCAGACAGAAGGTCGGTCACTTCTCCATCACTGATGTCGGCCTCCAACATGGAGTCATCTTTAAAGGGAGAACGTCACAAAAACAACACAAAAGTCAGACAAATAAAAAAAACCTCTACTCAATAATGGGGGTTGGTGTCGCTTCACATCTTTCGCAACACAAAAGTCAGACAAATAAAAAAATACTCTACTCAATAATGGGGGTTGGCGTCGCTTCACATCTTTCATTATTAAATCACACACTATTTGAAACAAAAACATCACTGAAATCTTCGTCTTACTTTTAAACTCTCTAAAACAAAATTGAGTGAACTCCACTGCTTTACCTGTATGAGGAGGATGGGCCAGACAATCGGAACAAATCCAGTCGCCTTCAGGAGCTGAACTTAATGACGGTGTCAAACAGTTCATATGATACCTGTGAAGATACACAAAAATTACTTCTGTGCTTTTAAGTAACTTCTGCAAAATTCTGTAGAAGAAAAAAAATATATTATTTGATTCCGACTGCATTAATGATTTGTAAAATGAAAATGTTCAACTGGCTTATTTGAGGAAAAAGTAATAGTAACTACCATACCCTGAATCACAGTGTATGCACACCAGCATCTGTCGTCTCCGGTCACTACGTCCACATTCGTCACAGTGGACAGCACCACCTGTTGGCTCTTCTACCTCAGTTTCCTCCTTCTTTGATTGCACCTTTATCTATAAAAGCAGCGACGGTATCGTTCATTCAACGTCACCTCAACCCTGCAGTCAGTCTCACTCACACATTGCAAATGTTTTCACCTTATTTTGAATGGCACCTCCCGGACGTTGTCTCTGGTGGATGAAGTCAAAACTGGTTCGATCCACGGGACATGTGTTTGCAGTCTGATGAGGAAAATAATTCAAAACAGTGTTTTTAAGACCAAGCTAAAAGCTATTCTGGAGAGCAGGCGGCTCGGGTTATCAGTGATTATTACATGCACAGCAGCATCACGTGATTAAGAAAACGGACAAATGAATAACAGCGCTGTTTTCAGTCGTTATCAGTGATTATTACATGCACAGCATCATCACGTGATTAAGAAAACGGACAAAATCTATGGACAAAATACTCATATCCTTTGAAATCACAGTGTAGATCGGTGTTTGCTGCAACATGCGTCAGAGCATTCTCGGTTGTATTTGTGGGTGTTGTGTGTTTACCTGGGACCATTGGAGAATACACTCAAAGCAGAAAAAATGCCGACAATTCGGGAGAGAGCCCACGGATTGATCCTTGAACAGACTCAGACAAATGTAACATCTGTCTGCTTTGTCCAGCACCGAGGAAGAACACTCCATGTCTTCGTCCTCTCCAGAATATTTTTTAAATTGTAAATAAAATAAAAAACAAACAAACAAAATGCTCTAAATGCGTTTAGTCCTGCAAAACTAGGTCGACATGTCCTCAATAAAAACAATTCTTAACTACATATTTAAATGCAACGTTGGCCCAGTATATTTGTTGACATTTAGCTCAGCCGCTAACTCCAGCATAGCGGAACTCGTTCGTTATTTTAGTTATAAAACAACTTCATGTTCACAAATGTGAGCATCTTAAAAATACAATGTAGATTTTATAAAATAAATGGCATACTTGATTATGCTAAAAGAAAAAGACTACTTCTCAGCCATCGGTTTGAACCTCTTCTTTATGGCACGACAACAAACACAAGTGATGGAAATACCGCCACCTGCTGTATGGGAGTATATGGCGTCAAAACGGTCCGATTTAAACCGCAAAAACTTTTCATATCCTATATTTAAGTCGAAATATCTTTGAGACTAGACTCCACCGATCATCGACGAACTCAAAAGATTAGTAACAAGTAAATGATACATGCCCAGGTAAGTTAGAATTGTATTATTTTAATAAAAAGAATAAATGTACAACAGTAATAGAATAGAAAATAATAGTCTTTATTGTCATATTATATTGTAATAAATGAAGGTTAGATAATTTATGGTAATTAATTAATATGTATTTAATGCAAAAAAATCATAACCTCAAAAAATATAAATAAATTATAATAAGACCTCAGGAGGCGCAATATCTGTATCATGATCTAAACTCGGTCTGTGGTTTCCTGCTGTACAGGCAGAGAAGAGCAGAGGGTTTTTTTCTCTCAAAAGCTCACAGACAGAAGATCAACAACGAGGGGTAGCGCGAGTTTTCACTTGTGTGCTGGAAAAGAAAGACAGACTGGTAAATAACTTTTCTTTTTTGCTTTTTACTTTTCCATGTTTTAATTTCCTCTAAATGTGTCAATCTGTGTAGTTTAGGTTTATTTAGTAAATCCAGGAAAACAGGGGAAAAAATAATCTGATGTGTGCTAAAGCTTGAACTATGATCAACAACAATTAAAAAAAAAACATTGTTAATAATACCAATGCTAACACTTTAATTTAACGGAGTTATAACTATTTTGGTAGAGATTTAAAAACATAATGTTTTGTGACATCTTGGGTAAATGAGGCGAAGGTAAACCCAGGTTGGACAACAGTTTAAAGAACTAGGTGTAGTAGTAGTAATTGAACATTTAAATTATAGCATACTGTACTGATAGAATGGAAACATGTTGCTCCATCTCCACAGGGCCACCAGTGATGCAGCAGCGTGTATGAGGATCAACCCCCTCTTTCCGGCTTTCACTTAACTACATTCACAAGTAAGAAAACCCCAACAGTGAACCGACGATGAACGTGACGGACGCCGGCTGCGGGACCCCTTCAGCAGAGTTCCAGTACTACCTGTTCCCAGTCATCTATACTCTGGCTCTAACTGTCGGACTTCCTGGAAACCTATTGGCTCTCTTCTACTTCACCTTCAAGATCACTCCCCGGACATCCTTCAGTGTTTACATCAGTAACCTGGCTCTGGCAGACGTCGCCATCCTCTGCACGTTACCTTTCAAAATTCACTACCACCTCAACAACAACAACTGGGTGTTTGGGGACGTGGCCTGTCGCATCATAGGGGTTCTGTTCTTCGCCAATATTTACACGAGCATCTGCTTCATGACTTGTATCTGCTTGGATCGCTACATCGCCACGCTACATCCACACACCTACCGCAGGCTGCGGAGACCGCAGCACTCCCTGAGTGTGAGCATAGTGCTGTGGAGTGTGGCCGGTGTGGCTATGCTCATCTTCGTCCTCATGGGACCCCTAGAAACCAACGTGGATAAACCAGGAAGCCACAGCTGCTTTGAGAACTTTGCCAAACACGAGTGGGACACGCGCCTGTGGACATACTCCGTGCTCAGTCTCATCTTCTGCTCTCTGCTGCCCTCTCTCATCATCCTGGTGTGTTACCCACTGGCTGCGAGGCGAATCTCCTTGATCAAGACCAAAACAGCCCAGAGGGCGGTGAGGGTCATCTACACCATCCTGGCCATCACGCTGCTCTGCTTCCTGCCCAACCATGTTGTGTATCTGCTGCACTTTCTCCGACGAATGGATGTCATCAAGAGTTGCTCCACCGCCAACCAGATCTTCATCGCCCGCAGGGTCACCATGGCCCTCGTCACCCTTAACACCTGTCTGGATCCTGTGCTTTACTACGTCACCACCAGCCACTTCAAATGGAAGCATGTGTTCCTGAAGTGGCTGTTTGGACGAGTACGGAGGAGGACTGGTGTTTACACCATCACTGTGAGCTGAGGGCCAGAGAAATGACAATGTATATCATATGTAATTACGGTCTCTTCGTGTGTTGCCATGTAACTGGGGTGTGCCAAAAATAGTTTTATATAAAAAAAAACCTTTATTCACATTGTGTCAGAAACTGATGCCCAGATATTTTATGCATTATTTTTTAACAAGAGATGGAAGTGTAAAATGATTTGTTGGTCATCTCCTGAAGTTCATGGTTCCCCTGCTGGTGGTGCAAGAATTGCTTTGAATGTTGAATGTTTTTCTTTTATGTCTTTCAGCACAGTCCAGATGGAAGGCCTTTTTTCAGCAGATTTGACAAGTAACTGCCCAGGTCTTCATCCTGCCAGAGGAAAAGTAAAGTGAGACAAAAATACATATTTAAAAAAAAAAAAAAGTCTGAGACAGAAATTTTAAAAGTGTAAAATAATGTGTATAAAATTTTCTATAAACGTTTTTATTTTTTAATTTGTCACTCCTTTATTTACGTGTGTTTTTAATTATTGAAGCACTCTATATTTTTCTACAAATATTATGTTATCACAATCTGAGTATAACTTCTGCAACTGATGAAGCAAAGTTTAAAGCTTGATTTGCTGCCGAAGAATAAAGACTTTTCTAGAATAATCAGCGATATATGGACATTTAAAAGGCTGTTCATCTCTGCTGAGTACATCTGAATACACCTTACACATACTGTAGGTTGTTTCTTGCCCTTCAGCAGAAAGATCAACAGAAACTTCACTCCCACGATGTACTGGTTACACAGATTTGTTTTCCCTCCTGTTTTGTTTTGCTTCCCTTTTACTGGTCTTACTCTGCTCTAGTCCTCCCACAGCGGTGCTTTCACTTACCACTGCTCAGACCATCACTATGTGCCGGGGCTTTTTAAAGTACAACACTGTGGGCATTCCTCAAATAAGCCGGAAAAAAAAAAAGAAAAAAAACTTCCATGCACTTTGTATTAACACAACCAGACACAAACTGTTTTTATATATTCTGTATTATTATTATTTGAGTCAATAACAATAATAAAAATAAAAAATGAACCCGCAAAAAATGTGCCCCTTAAATTATGGTTTTTATACTTCCTGTTTTAAAGTAGTAGTTGTGTCATTCTTCCTTTTTCACATGAATTCGATAATTCTCCTGAAAGCTAGCTTGTCGTAAATGTTAATGATGTTAGATGCTAAATTAAATCAATGGCTGCATTTTTGGTCTGAAGAATGAAAAGAGGAAAAATAAAAATAAGAATTCAATCAAATTCAAAAGATCTATTTTGTCCCAAAGAACACACTAGAGAGAAATAATGACTTAAAAGAACAGTGAAGAAAAATGAATGCAATGAAAAGAAGAAAAAAAGAATGAGATCACTGAGAAAAATGAGAAGAAAGGCATAAGAAGGAGCAGATTCATTAAAAAATAAGAATAAGAAAGGCAGAAAGAAGAAGAGAAAAAGCAGAGTGAAAAGGAATAGAAGAATGATGGGGAAAAAGAAGAGTGAGGAAAAGATGGTGAGAAAAAAGTAAATGAGCAAAAGAAAAAGAAGGAGGTGGTAATGAAGAAGAAGAAGGTAGAGAAAAAATATTAAGAAGAGTAAGGAGGAAATTGAGCAGGGAAAAAATGAGAAGAAAAAGAATGAGAAGATAAATGTGAAAACCAAGAATGACAAAGGCTGATCCCCCCAACCCTCCACTCTGTTACTTGAACCAACTCTTGTTTGGGTTTCTGTTTGTGGGTAATTTGAACTGGTCTCACTGTTTCTAATGCCCGAACTCAAACTCCAACAACATCAGACAGACGTTACAGTCGGTTTTACCTGATAACTCCACGACAGCAGCAACACTTTGGTGTTGGTGTCTTCAGAGGAGGACGACACCTTGATGACGATGGACTCCACCATGACGGTGCCATCAGGGAGGTGCTGGATACTGTAACCTTTCAATAAGCTGCAACACAGACACGGGTCACAACATATGAACACAACGTTACTGTAACCTTTCAATAAGCTGCAACAGACACGGGTCACAACATATGAATACAACGTATAATAATAATAATAATAACACAGAACAAAGAAACAATTACAGATAATTAGTAGAAATGTTGTCTGAGCGTTTCAGAAATCAAAGATAAATATTCCGGAGTTACTAAAATCCCAACATCTTCCACTCTCACCCTTTCAAGTGTGTGTAGATTCTATGGAGTGTGTCAGCGTCACTGTGTGGGTCCTGGAGCTGCACACGACATGTGAATCGCAGCTGGTGTTCGTTGAGGCCGAGTTCCTTCAGAGCCTGTTCTGATGAAACCAGCTTCAAGCTCTGAGGTCGTGGGAAAAGATTTGAGAGTAAATATATTAATGGTTATATTTCAACAACTGCATATATACATATATATCTGTATGTGTATATATATAAATCCATATATTTCTGTTTAGGCATATATATTTATATATATTCTTGGCACACACACACACACACTTTATATTTGATTAAAATCACTTACATTTTCTTTCATAATCAGAGTTCCGTGCATGGGGCGAGGTTTTTTGGGATCAGGCAGAGGACCTTTAAAACAAAGATAATAAAATTGTAATATATCATAAATATATAGATTATCTCCTAACATGAGCCCAGCCCATGATGTGGTGTGTTGTTCTAGGGCTCTGCGGTCAGAAAACCCCTTACAGTCTTAAAATGTCATGTGGTTTTTGTTCCACATCGACAAATACACAACACTGAATATTGAGAAAACCAATCTGGGTCATGATATATAGGAGGCACCGAGCAGAAATACCACCAGTACCACAGTATGCTGTGACCAACATTTACAGTCAGAGAAACTGCATAGGCTCACTACACCTTAAACACACAACACCAGGATCTGTCGGTAATTTCTCTGACTGTAGATACAGCATAACATTCCTGAACTTTAACGACAGCTTACCTCCGAGAGCCATCTCCCTCTTGAGCAGGTTGAGTGAGATATCCACAGGAACACTGGGGTTTGTTTTTACAGTTACAGTCTCGCCATTCGCTGGCATGTAACAGTCAATACCTGCAACATTAACATGGCAGGAAACAAACTCATCAGCAGATGGCTATTAAACTTAAAAATGAGAGAGCCGTTAAACAAGCTCTTCATGTGTGTATTTCTTCAATTTCTGCAAGTGTTGTGTTCAACTTAACAGGCCTGGGCCTAGTAGAGGAAAATGACACTAGAAGATCATTAAATTTCGTCACGTATGGGACAATCCCACTGTATTAACTCAACATCAAGAGCATCATAGAGGGGTTTGAAGCTGAATTTGCAATAAAAAACTATTTTCTTTGTGCACTCACTGAACTCCTGCTCAATCTTGCCCTTGAGAAACTCCATCTTGGCACCTTCGCCATGTACCAGCAGCATGTTACGAGGCTCTGCCATGCGAATGAGTTGCATGATGCCTTTAGCATCTGCATGGGCGCTGAATGACATGTACTCCACCTGTAGCTTCACATCCAACTGCAAAAAGAATTGTAAAAGGGAATTTCACCTCAAGCTTCTAGGGAAATGTATACAGATTTACAGAAGATTAAAATGTATTTCATTACGTTAGGGACGTAACAATATACACTGTTGGCTACATTTGTAATATAAAAAGTTGAAAGAAATTACATTTTTGTCATTTATTTGCAAATGACTGGAAATAAAATTCAAATAAAGCTTAAATATGTCAATTCAAGCCACTGAACTCAGTGTTATTTCAGAATTAGCATAAAAACACAAAAAAGAAAACATTTTAAAAAAAACCTCACCGTTGCTCTCCCTTCCATCTCTAGTTTTTTCTGTCCATTTAAGATCTTATGACCAATTGTTCCTTGTACACAGTATCCAGGCATAATCACCTAAAAAAACACAAACAACCTCAATTTTACTTTAATTAAAAAAAAAACACCAGCTTTTTTTTTTTAACATAAAATTCTTACCATGTTCTTCTCATTACCGGCCCATTTCTTAAAGATCTGCAAAGACTGACCGGCATGAAGCATCCCTGGTGTAGCAAACACCACCTGTAAGTAAAGAGTTATGCATGCAGTCAGTATTACTTTGCAATAGTTTAGGCAATTATACACAGTAAAGTAAAAAAAATAAATAAATATATACCATAGGTCCAGGGTTGTCAGCGTAGGAGCGGTCAAAAGCCTTGATGTGCTTGAATTCAAACATGTTCCTCTGTACGAAGGTTTTTCGGATCTTCTGGTTCGTCCACGTAATAAAAAGTTTGTAGTAATGGTTGGCTTTCTCTGTCAGCCCGGTGGAAAAGTAGATGGGGGCCTTTAGGTTCATTCTCTCCCTGTGCAGTGGGGAAATACGACCATTAATCACCATCATACTTAATAATGTCAAGCCAGCCATTTTAGTGAACGGCTATTTGTTTCGTGATTGATGAACCCTGTGTATTGTGACGATGTGCAGTTTGTCCCTGTAGAACAGGAATTTCTGTTCAGCTGAATCCAAAAATATTTGTCCAAAATTAATTATACATCACTGAGGTGAAGGATGGATTGTTGAAAAATCCCCAGACGTCACTGAAACTGTGCAGTTATTTCTGGGTAAAAAAAAACAAAAACCTACCAAAATGTTTCCAGCAGAATACACAGTTCCTGCGCTCGTCCAAGTGCAAAAACAGGGATGAGAACCTGAAAAAGAATAAAAGCATTTAATCATTCAATCATTTTATACAATCCATACGTTAATATATGTTTGTTTGTTTTTTTACCTTTCCTCCTCTTTCTATGGTCTCATGCACTTTCTTCAAAAAGTCTCTCTCTCTGCATCTCTTCGAATCACGGATGGTGGTGGCGTATGTCGACTCCGAGATGAGGATATCTGGGCGACACTTATCGATCCATGCAGCTCTGAGAATGTATTAACATAATAATGAAAAAAACTTTACTTTCACCAAGAAAAACCCCTATTTTTGAAAATAACAAATAGTTCTGAGAAACCTGTCTAAACATGGTTTGGTTATTAAAATCAGACACTTTTTTAAAGTAATAAAATTAAATCCGCCCTAGAACATTTTGACAGCCCCTGGTGAAATGATAGCACTTACCCCAAATGTCTGTCTGGTGTCATGTTATAGTCTCCCTGGAAAAAAAAAACATTTTTAGAGATGCATTTTTGGAACCGTTGAAGAGAGAGAAAACTGATGCTAAAGCTAAAGCAAATGCTAAGTCCTTGATATACTAAGATAAGAAAAAATGTCAGATTCTCTACCAAGTGTTGCTTGTTTGAAATTTTTCACAAATCAGTGTTAGGCAGATAAGAAAAAATGTCAGATTCTCTACTAAGTGTTGCCTGTTTGAAATGTGTACATTTTCACAAATCAGTGTTAGGTCAGGTCTTTAGTATCATTAAACTAGCAATAAACATTTATTTTAAGGTTACTGTACAGACTTGTTTACACTCACAGTATAAACCACTGACTCTAATCCCACTTTGATTTGAACCATGGCAGCTCCCAGGACATGGCCTGCATAGTACGCCTTGATCTCTAGCTCATCATCCACCTGAGATAAACCAGAGAAAAAAAATACAATAATTCAGTTCAGAACAGATAACTTCAGAACAGATAAGCAGCAGGTGCAGACTAAATTGTTCACAAGAGAGACACAGACACACATACTGCACCTGTACAGTTTGGTGAAGGTTCAGCGGCACCACTTTTTTCATGCAGTCCTTGATCATCTGTGAGGTGAAAAAATTGGTTTCTCCCTTTTTGTCAACTGTGATCTTTCGAAAGTCTTCCAGCAGTATTGGACAGATAGCCTTGGTGGGATGTGTCATGTAGATAGGACCATCATAACCCACCATCTCACTCATGTAAGGCAGAGCACCACAGTGATCCAGGTGAAAATGGCTGAGAATGGAACAGGTACAACCATGTAAACACACAATATTTGTATCTTGTTAATTAAATCAGGATACTAGCCCTCTTGTTGTAATATAAATGCCTTAATTATTTACTAATCCATACCCCTCTGACCTGCTGAAGCTCAGAGGAGATTTGAGTTTTACAGTTCCAGGTCCTAAACTTAAACAAACCAACTTCCTAGTTTTAACTCTCTCTTTTTTTTAGATAGATTTTTTAAGATGTTTGTTTGATGGTTTTGATGCTTTTATTTCTGTAATTTTATCATTTATGTCTTTATGTCTTGACCTATTGGTTTGGATCTGGATGTGACACAAACCTGATGATCACACAGTCCAAGAACTCTGTCAGGCGTCCATTCTGGGTGATGTAGGAGAAGTCTGGGAAACGTCTCTGGAATTACAACAACAACCTGATTTTAACATGAGATAACAATGTAGTTGATACGTAGTACATAAAGGAAATTAAACTTGAAACTTTAAAGAAAGTAAAAGAATTTTTTCTTTAGTAGCCAAAAAAGAGATTAAATTAATAGCATAAAGTTTTAATCCTTTTGCATGTAAAGTTTTACTTTGTGTGAAGAACAGATTCACTCACATCATCATTGTATCCCATGTGCATCCCACAATCTAACATAATGTTCTTTCCACCAATGGAAACCAGGATGCAGCTGCGCCCAACATCTTGGCCAGCACCTGGGGGAGAAAAGCACAAATTAAAAATCTCTTAAGTAATACAATTTGATTTTTACCATTTTTTAACCCATTTGCCAGACATATACTAATTCATTCCAGAAATGACTGGTTAATGGTAAATATCGCGCTGTTAGAATTTACTTACTCTAAACTTTAAAGTCTATAAAGCAATAATTTTGACTTTTTTAAATAAAAGATGCGGTAAATGAAACATGTATAAAAGTATATACAGTACATACACACACTTGCAAGTCACTGAAAGTGCAGTGCGTATTGACAGAACTAGCTTCGCTGCTAAATTACCAAAACCGTAAGGCTACTCACCAAGCGGTGTTACGTTTATTTCAGGCATTCTATTTCGTCAAGACTGAGCCGTAAACATCTAAAAAAGAAATGCACACATAATAGTCGACATGTACTATTTCCAATGAATTACTATTTATCTTCAAAGGAACACTCAATATTTCATTTGTTGTGAACATGTGAAGCGGATATGGCGTCCATCTTAAACTTTCCGGTGACCAATTTCAAAATAAACCCAATCTCGTACTTGCGAAAACTAAGGGATATCAGTTAATAGAAATCTCTATATTTTGCCATAATTTTTAGTAAGTAATGCTTTTTTAACAGATATTTTTAACTTTAAATTGATTAACACACAAATTACCGTTGGTTACGTAATATAGAAATGTAGCCTAAGAAACCGTAAATGCCCAGGCTATGTCAAAACTCATCATAATAAAATTTTAATCAAACATATGTTTAAAATAAATGTAGTATAACAAGTTATACGTCTTTTCTAACGTCCTTTGTTGTTGTTTGGTGCAACACGATTTTAAACTCACAACCATTGAGTATTATTTTGAAAGGACAACATGGTCTGATTTCTGGCGTTTCCCGGCTCGAGTCTGCGCAATAGGAAGGAATTATGGTTCTCAGGAGAAGTTGTAGTTGTTTTTCGTTTTGAGCTTGTTTGGCAGATGACGTGTTCTGTCTTTGGCTGTTTATACGAGACCTGCAGTGACTTTCAGTTTATGTTAAAGAGTCGGTTAATCTGCTCATCTCTGTGTTACCTGTGTCCTGACAGCGTTTGTTCTCGTAGAAAGCCATGGCGGACTGTGAAGATCAGAAATTCTCCCTAATGGAGGTCCTCGACACTTTCAAACTGTGTGTGTCGGAACAGAAGGAAGTTTACCTACAGAATTATGTCGAGGGATGGCGTGGACTTGTCAAGTAGGTGATTCTGACAGAGACATCTCAATGTCAATTTCTCCTTTGCAGTGCATATCCACCTAAAAATGACAACACACACACCATGTTTTGTTTTCATTTTTACAAAGAAACCACAAAGCTCCAAACTGCGTGCGGGGACTAGAAACACATATAGAATCGATTTTTTTTACCTAGGGCGTTGGTCTGGACCTTTAGAAACATTTAGAGACATTTTTATCACACGTGTGACACACTTGATCAGCAGTTAAAACAAACAGTGCCTTAAGTTGTTTTGCCGTTAGCAAGCAAGCTGTGATTGTAACAAGACGTACAAAATTGTTTTAGACCTGATGTAATGATGTATGTGGAACTTAACCAACTTGTAAAACTGGTTGATGTGATGCATCAACCATGAATATATATTTTTTTATATAAATTATGCGTAAACTGATGCAGCTGACGCAAAGATGCTAAAAGTGACATTATTTAATGTGTACTACTGAGTTGTAACAGTAATATTTGTGCTTCTTAGGTTTCTGAACAGCTTAGGGAGCGTCTTTGGCTTTATCTCCAAGGATGTTGTGAACAAAATCCAGATCCTGGTCAACTACCTGAATGGGGAAAACGGGTCACAGTACATCACCATCCAGTCAATGGTTAAATATGAGCTTGATAATGAACTTGTGGACATGACCAAGAGAGGACGCCAGCCAGAGTCAGGCTCCCGTACTCTGCTGAGGCTCCACCGTGCACTCCGATGGCTGGAGCTCTTTCTGGAACGTCTCCGCACCAGCACTGAAGACAGCAAGACATCTGTCCTATGTTCAGAGGCCTACAACGAGTCCCTGGCCAAACATCACCCTTGGGTGGTCCGCAAGGCTGCAGGCATGGCATTCTGTGTGCTGCCTGGCCGTCCCGCTTTTTTTGAGGTGATGAACGTGGGCCCCCCAGATCAGGTGGTGGCCGTGCTGGGAGAGGCTGTGCCGCTGATCTCTGAAGTGTACACCATCACAGAGGAGCTCTACACACAACATAACCTGTTAGATTTACCATAGACAAGATGATACTGTAGGTTTACATTTGACCTAAAAATGCATTGTATGATTACTGTAATCCATGACCCATGGTCATGTGCTGCTACATCTACTTGGTTTTTATCTGTTGTATATGGTATTGGGCACAAATCGTAATTTAACTGACTGTACCTAGTACATTAGTAGATTTTTACACATAACTGATTTGAATGTAATGTTGCATGTTTGCATTTATCCAATGCACGTGAATCATTGTTTATGTTAAAGTCTTAGATTCAGAAGGAACAATGGGAATGTCATTAGTTTGTTTAAACTCCTCATCTGTATTTATTATTTTAAATATAAGATAATAATGTAGGGTGGTGGAAATGAGCCCCACGATACATTGAGGGTTTGATCTTGTGCTGTTATTAGTTTTTTCTTTTTTAAAAGAACCAAATTTTAGTGTAAGTTATTATATAAATATAAAAACCACAGAAGAGCCACATATATTCACATACAATGTAGTGGAATCTTACTTTAAAACAAAGATTAAACTCAACCTGAATGTACTGCTTGACTTTGTGATATTTGAATTGATTTTCAGTTTGGTTTTTGACTGTCACAAAAAGTATTGAATTAAATATTATGATCTTCTAGTTTCAACTCAATGTGAAACCTGGTTCTGTCATAATACTCGGAGTTGAAGAAAAACACGAAACCTGGTTCTGTCATAATACTCGGAGGAGTTGAAGAAAAACACGAGTTTGAATGGTTTTCTCATTTTTGTTTTATATCCAAGTGCTGCCACCTAGTGGGGAAAAACTTAATTGTTTTGCCTATAATTGTAGCACAAGCAAGGACAAATTATTCGCAAGACCTTGAGCCACTCGTTAATCAGTAATTTCTAAACATATAAATTCTTGTTTGGACGGCAAGACCTCCAGAACCAGCATGTCACCAGTTCGATTCCCAGTGGCAACTGATGGTGTTTTCTGCAGCTACAGAATACAGAATCAGAAATCAAGAATCAAACCCTCGACTGACTCGAGGTGCAGGATGAGGGTGAATGATCACTCTAAATCCGGTGTTAACATTAGTGTGAATTGTTGTACGTCTCCACACGTGGCTGTATCATGGACTGGTGAACTGTCCATTATATATATATACCTCCTGCCTTGGTCTTCTAATATTGACAAGAGACCCTGTGGGTATGAAAGGGATTAGGTGGTGGAGAGTGAATGAACAATGTTCTAAATCTATTAAACATGGTGTGTAAATGTGCATACTGGAAAGGAGGCGCAACTACATGCCCTTTTGTTTACAATAGCATAAATACCGCAATACTGCAGACCAGTTTTGTAAGACTTTCTCAGCACATCATAAAGATTCCCAGCGGGGCCGAGGTCTGCCAAGCCTTGTGCTCTTGCGTAGTCCCTCCACCAGGGAGCTCTACTACGTGACAGAGCTGTTACTACGGGATGTCATCGTCATGGCAACCATGTTCTCATGGTAACCAGTGACGCTAAAGGAGGAACAGGTGACTGGAAAGAGAGTCGAAGTTTTGGGTCTTAAACGCGTTTCGTGATAGCAACTCTGTAAATCAGTATTTACGGATACGATTATCTACAGCTACAACCAGACTGATCGTGCAGGTGCAGGAGAAGAGTCGCCGACTTTGACTGAACTCTTCTAGACTTTATTTTTTAGCGAAAGAAAGGAAACCAGGAAACAAGTGAAAGTTTCTGCAGAGGTGTTCACCCATGCATGTGACTAGACCGAAGTCCTCTAAAGGACGCAGCAGACCGGCTGCTGTAAACACCGGTCCAGATCCTGCCGTCGTCCACGGCAGCGGTAGTAATCCGGACCGGAACCTCCGCTCCCAGTCCGAACCCAGTATGAGACAAGAGGAGGTTTTGCTCAGTCTACAGAGCTCTGCTGCTGCCGCGCCGCTGAGCTTAAACAAGTACAAGGTTCTGCCGTCGATCGAGAGGAGGCGCTCAGATGGAGGTGAAACAGGTGGTGGAGTACAAAGTCTGTACACGAACATGTCACTGCTAACCATATCTGGACATAATGTCCCGGATCTCGTCAATGCGCAAATGAACAACTCTACAGCAAACGGAAAGTCAAGTGGCGGGTCACCTTTGACCCTGTCCAAAGAAGAGCCTCCAGAACCAAGCAAACATTCCGGTGCCATTGACAGTTTGCTCTTAGCTGTAAGAGCACCGTGTGGCAGGAGGCTTGAGCAGCACTTTAACCCCACAGATACTCTGCTGATGGTTCGAGTCAGCGCAGAGGACAGGTTTGGACACAGGTACGAGGACGCCTTCATCCAAACACTGGATGTGCCGAGAAGAAGCTACACAGACCTGGATATGACTCTGGCCCAGTGTGGCATCAAGAACAGATCAGTGCTGTGCATCACACTGAGCGGTAATGGTGTGGACCAAGATTGAAGTACAAGCATGCAGCTGAAACACAGCTGCATTGGTGGCATCTTAAGTCCCTTTATTCTGCTGTTGCTCAATATATTTTTACTGTATATAACATATACGTGTATATATATAAGCATACATATATGTATTTGTCATAAGAAGTGTCAAAAGTATGTTGAAATGCAACTCTTTTTGAGCAGGACCTTTTAAATCAACTAAAACAACAGTTAACAGTGAAATTAAAAATGTAGTTTCTACAAAACAACACTTTGACCTTTAACTTGACCAAAGCTGGTCAGCTTTTAACATTCTGTATGCTTTTGTGTGGATTTTCAAATTTCAGACAACACAAAAGAACATTTATTTTTCAATGTAAAAATGTTTAGGCGTGACCTCTGACAAAACCTTTTTATTTATATCAAAACAAACAGGATGTAGCAACAAAAACAAGTTTGGAGTTTTTTTTTCCTTACCAACTACCACTAAACTGAACCAAGCATTTTAATAAATTGAAATGCTTCAAGTGACTGGAGGACATATAAAGTGAAACACAAACAAACCATGCAGGAACCTGTAGATAAAACATGCATCTACATCACCCCACTTTAACAGAAACAAACACACAAATAAATTATCAACAAGCTGTTTAACAGTGAGTTAGTCTCACCGTCTCCGGGAGACAAGCCAGAGAACTTAAGGAGACTTCATTCCCGAAACCAAAGTCAGAAATAGCGAGATTTTTGAACAACCAACATTAGCATTTACCTTTTTTATAAACAGAACAAATGTAAAAAATAAACCTCTAAATAGAACTAACTTGATTCACCCTCTTGGTCCTGGAAGTGCATTCAGAGCAATTCAACAGAGAAGACGTTCCATTTCCTCCAGATTACTGGTGTCAAGTTTTGTTATTTTTCTGTCTGTGAGGAAAAGGGTTATAGAATGGGTTTCATATAAACTGGGACAAAAAATGACGAGTGGAATAATAATAATAATAATAATACTAAGAGTGACTTTTATTCAGCAATAAATGTGTATTGTTTAGGGACTTACTGAAATGCATCTGTATTTGCTGGATGACATCCATGCTACGTTCACTGTCAATCATATTTACAGCGAATCCTCTCCTGCCAAAGCGTCCTGTCCGACCAATACGGTGAAGGTACGTCTCGTTGTCGGCATCTCCTGCCATGTCCACTGGGAGGTCAAAGTTCACCACGAGCGACACCTGCTCGACATCGATACCTGGACCGAGGCCAAAACACGTTCAGAAGCATTCATGATCACCTGACGATTGATCGTGAAGTTATCGTACCGCCTCACCTCTGGAGCAAACGTTTGTGGTCACAAGCACTTTTTCCTTGCCGTTACGAAAACGATCGATAACAGCAGCCCTCTGCTCCACGGTCATTTCCCCACTCAGCAACGCCACCTGGTGGCCTTCTTTAGTCATTTGTGTAGCCAGCCAAGATGCCATCCTGCGAGTCTGAATGAAAAAAAAAACAAAAACATAATAGTGTTTCCTACGGTCAATATCTCTTCTTAAAACAAACTTTAAAAGTCACAAGAGTCTCATATTTATAAGACTTCACCAGAGATGTTCACAGGTCAGTTTTTTTTAAGTACGAGTCAAGTCCTAAGTTTCTAAAAAATAAAAGTCTCATGTCTCTTCTAGTTGTAATGAGCCTTCTATTGTCTGCTACTAATACTGCACAGCCAGCTGCAGGTGTTCTGGTCACCATTGTGTTACTGTCATCTCAGTATATGAGGTGCACACCCGTGTAATACGGTTCCTATGGTTACCATGACCAAAAAAAGAATTTTTTAAGTTTTCTCAAAATCAAGTCTGAAGTCTTTTGAGGACTAGACGTAAACTTGGGTATGCATCTGTGCTCTGTACTACCAGTACAAATACTTTGTGTTAGTAAAATTTAAATCAATTTTAATTTAAAATCTCACTTCACACTTGACTTTTTTTTTTGCAATAAAAAGTATAGCACCTTTACGCTAAGTGATAAAATGACTAAGTAACGGTCGCCAGTATCAACTGTTTGAAAAAGATAGAAAAGAAAAAGAAGATATTCTTTTGTATGTGATCTAGAATGATAAAGCCTGACTCACTTGGCAGAAGATCATGGCCTGTGCAATTGTAAGGCACCCGTACAGATTGCAGAGGGCTTTAAACTTGTCTTCCTCCTGCTGGCAGACCACGTAGAACTGCTTGATTGTGTCCAGTGTCTCCTCTTCTCGCTTCAGCTTGATGATATTGGGGTCAGGAACCACTTGCTCTGCAAACTTCCACACAGAATCCTCAAAGGTCGCAGAGAAAAGCAGCATCTGGCAGTCCTTGGACAGCTGTCTGCAGGTGGCAAAGGAAGAGAGTAGGGAATGTGTGACAACAGATGTTTAAGATTATGTCAGAAATGACTGGAATTCTGAAGCAGCCCACCGCTGGATTCGAATGCTCTGGTCACGATGACCCTGCGTGGCGATCATCACATCAGCCTCATCCAGGACAAACAGAGTGATGTTTTTGGGGTCAATATTCTTGAACTTGGTGCACCAATCGAGAACTGTGCCTGGTGTTCCGATGACAATCTGCTGCTCTAACTTCATGCCTCGGCCCACTGAATAGGACAAGATAAAAAGTTGAAAAGTCCATCCTCAAATACCTTGGTGTCATCAGTTACATAGATAAAGAAATATTTAATGTCATTATAGACATGTGCGAAGAAATAGAGTAAAGAGTAAAAGTTTTGTACACATCCATATATACAGTGAATAAAAGAGAAACACAGTAATGATCAGAGTATTTACAGGAGGTCAGTTGGTGTTGTCCATGTCAGGACCATGTAGTGATACCACAGCCATGGATTTACACTCACATATCTAATATATATCTAATAAACTCAATTATTATCAATGTGAAATCATTTCAGGTTCTGACAGTGTCAATTGTTCTTACGTCTGTTACCACGGATGGCGTAGGCCAGTTTCACATCTGTGTAAAACTTTCCCATTTGCTCAATGACCTGACCAATCTGCAGAGCGAGCTCATATGTCGGTGCGATGCACAGGCACTGCAGAAATAAACAGGTTTAAATGAAAAATATTCCCATCAGAGACCTGGGCTGAATATGGACAGTGGCAGGATCTGCCGAAGACACGTTATGTTCACCTGGGTCCATTTTTTTGCTGGATCTACGTGGCTGAGCATTGCCAGAGAAAAGGCAGCAGTTTTACCAGTGCCAGACTGTGACTGTGCAATTAGATTCTGAGGTCTGCAAACACAGAAACAGACTCAGACAAGAACGGCGCACAGGTGAAAATAATGTCACCATTTTTTTTAATGAGCTCAGTCTATTTCCAAACGATAAATGTATGCAACGAGGATAAAAGGATTTAAAAAATGTGGACAAAAAAGTATTTTATTTGACTACTGGAAAAAGTTTGTGGATGTCCTGCTTACAAAAAGAAACATTATTTTGTTCATTTTCAAAAATATTTAATATTTGTTCTTCAATCTGTCTCGTTTAAAGTGAAAAATAAATAAATAAATAAATAAATATAAAATTCTGAAGAGAAAAAAAGAGAGAAGGTGAACTCACGGTTGTGCCAACATCATGGGTAAAGCATTCTCCTGGATTCTGGATGGTCGGTTGAACCCCATGTTGTACACACCCTTCAACAGCTCAGGTTTCCTGTTCAATCACATCAAAATTAATTGAATGATGCAACATTTTTGAGAGCCAACACTTAGCTACTTTCAAATGTTTTTGTGCCAGAAAATGTTTTGATGGACCTATAAATGTTATAATAAAACAATAACATTAAAATAAAACAATTATAAAACATTAAAAATGTAATTAAATGGTGAAACAAGAGGTGAAAACAAGGTGTGAAGTGGTCGTCAAATACACCTGTTAATGAAGTACAACCCTGGTATTGCCTGTTTAATGCAGTTTTTCCTTTTTTTGCACATTTTAGTCTCAAATATGTCTGTGAAAACAAGGTGTGAAGTGGTCGTCATATACACCTGTTTCTGCTCTTTAAACAAGCCATATTAAGATTATGTTTTTTTAAATAACTTTTGGTAAGACTGTGGGCTCTATTTCTTAGGACATACCACATCATAGACCAGCCTCCTGACATGTCAAGAGGGACAGATAGATATAATAGAAATGACTAGAGATATAATTAGTATAGATAGTCAATAAAATCTTAAGTTGAAATTGAGATAAAAAATAAGACAATAGAGCCTTTTACAATGATAATTGATAACATGAAACATTTTTTATTCTCTTGCGCAGTTTTTATATATTCTGTGTAATATACACAGAATATACATGCTAACGGTTTTTTTGTGGTTATGTGTAATGTGCCAGGCGGAGTCCTTTGTGCATGTAGGTTTTATAGCACAAGTAATAAAACAGAATTGAGTTAACAGTTATTAATCACTAGGGTTGACCATTAAACACAGTGCCACCGTGGCACCAATTTCCAGAGCAGATCAGTATCTACACACCAAATACCAGTGCCTAAGCAGCTTCCATGGGCCACAGTGGAGCCATTGCAGAAATAAGAAGGGACTTGAAGGGACAGAAGTAGAATGGACTTGGCAGCAGGCTGTAGAAATAAACCTTAAGGCATAGTGATGACATTTTGCTGTTAAAAGGGGTTTTTATGATATGTTAAGGGAAGTAATTTCATCATTGAAGACTTTTGTTCTGTAAAATGCTTTTTTATTTAATTTTGCAGACTCACAGTCTTAGCTCCTCAAATGTCTTCACAGAGTACAGAGGAGAGGTGGGGTCCCTTTGCAAAACCTCAACCTGGTTTCTATTCCGCACTAGAGTATGGCGGATCAATTTATTTAGAAGAGACTGCTCCGCTGGATCAACCACTTCCCCGTCCTTGGTCAGAGCTCCAGTTGTATTCTTGATGGGGACAACATTCCCTGAGCAAGCATAAAAAACAGACAATGGTAAAAAAGAAAAAGAAAATTAGTAATCCATAAAAAACATAGAAGAAGAGGTTTAATAATTGTTATTATTGATGTTACCATTGACGTCTCCTGTCTGGTTTAAACGAGAGAGCAGTTGAGTTATCTCTCTTTTAGAAAACTCCATCTAAGTAAAACAAAACACTTTTTTATTGCATCGTTGACATGTGATTTGCCTGATTACAACAATAGTGCAAATTAAAACCCCAAATAAAAAACAGAGCAAGACTTGATACCACTTTGTATCTGTTGAGAAACCGTCAGAATTTCACAGATTCTAATTTAATATTTTTTTTAACACAAAATAACTCTTAAATTATTGTCTTCCACAAATTTCCACAGAATTCCAGACCATTTACTTGTAACATGTTGCGGCTAAAGACCCTAACTTATCTCTAAAGTCTGAGAAACAAATAAGGCTTGAAAAATGGACGCCATTTCCTGAACGAACACTTTGACAAACATAATACATTGGTTCCTTGAGGCCTACTGTCACAGTGCACCTTGCAATCAGTTTGTCCTCATAGTGAAAACACATTTATTATTAAATTAAAAAAAACATACATACATACATATGTAGCCATAGTGAAAACACATTTATTATTAAATAAAAAAACCATACATACATACATACATATGTAGACGTGATGGCGAATCTCCGAATTTAAGTTTAAACTGCTCATTAATTAACATACACTTGTTAGCTTTAGCCAATTTCGTATCAGACACCATTTTAGGGACACAAAAAAAAAAAACCCAACCTGTGATGGAGTTTTGGCTTCTTGCACGTCGACAGACTGTGCCCAAGAGTCCCCTAACATTGTGAAATGTGTCATTTTTAAACTCCTTTTTTTTGTTCTTAACCAGAAATAAAAGAAAGTTTAACGCTGGCGTGGTAGTGACGTGACTAAGAGTCGCTTTTCCGGATCGAACCAATCATAGCCTAAGTGGACCGAACTACAGCTGCCTTCAGGTCAATCGGAAACGGCGCCGTTTTAAAAACTTTCGCATTCGAAGCAATGAAAATTACAGCTTAACGACCTGACCAAAAAAGTGAATAAATACTGCTTTTTATATTACTTTAATGATATATATTATTTAGATGGTTCGATGTAAACATGCTGAAATTACCATTAAAATCTCATTGTAAATTTAGCCGGATTCGTTCTTTTTTTTTTACGTTTGTGAGAATTACGTGAATGCAACATAGAATACAACGTGCAAGCTCTGTCACAGTCTGTTCTTTAAATGTCCCTTGTGCCTTTGCTCCTTTGTTCAACTCCTGCCTTTGCTCCTTTGTTCAACTCCTGCCTTTGCTCCTTCAATCTGCTCGACCACTGCTAACTATGTATTCAGCTGCACTCCCTTGACTCTTGCCAGATTGTCTTCGCTTCATGAACACTTCCAAGAACTTATTATAACTCATTATTTGATCCGGACCTGACCTGGCTAGGACATCACCTTGTCTAAGCTTCAGTAACCCTGCCTGTTGTTTCCAGATCCTGCCTCATTTGCTAGCTGAAGTGTTCTGTTTGCTTCTAATAAAGTGAGTTAATCCTGACGTAGTGGTGGTGCTGCTATTGGGTCCTTTCCATACCCGTGACAATCTCTTAATTTGGCTTTATATATAAATTACTCTTTTGATTTAAGAGTCAACATCAACAATCCTTTAAAATGATTATTTAACTCTATTCCACTTTAACTGTTTTTCTCACTGTTTATAATGACTAACATTACCGTAAGCTTTTGCTGGACTTTTTTTTATATATATATACTTTTTTGTGCCTTACACCTTCCTGCTGTTTGGTTGATGTGTGTTTGAGAAAGCCAGTGAGAGTGTGTGCACGTCGGTGTGTGGCTGGTTGAGAGGATAAGCAATGGGGGGTTGGAGGTGGCAGTGGCTTATCCAGACTAAGTTTTATTGGCTGCAGTAAAATTCAATTTGAAGGCGGATGCTGCAGACCACCCCCCACCCCTTCACACACACACACACACACCATCTACATTTTTGCAACTTGGCCAAACGTCTTCATAAACACATATTGTCATGGTAACCCAGCATGAAAACAGATGGATCAAACTGAGTGTTCACAAAACACAGAGACAGCCAAACACCCACGATACATTTGAAATATTAAGGGCTTTCCAGTCACACCAGGGGGAGAGAGGAAGAGCGAGTCACAGTGGGTGATATAAGGGGGAGATGTGGAGCTTTCTCACCCACACATCTTCCCAAGTCTCTGCCTTCCATCACAGTGCACAGATCCCTTGATATTAAAGCCGCAACCTGAATGGTTCCTGCTGTCATCGGTGTTAGGGATGGCTGAGGTGAGTGGGTGGTGCCTTGAGTGTGTGGGGGAGGGAGAGGGGGATATTTATTTGAATGACTGGACTCACTGTCATACACACCACCACCCCCCCTTCTCTCTCTCTCTCTCTCTCTCTCTCTCTCTAAGCCCTTCAACATCAGCCAGGAGGAGCAGGGAATAAACACAGTTCACTAACCACATGTTGCTGTGCTACATTCAAGTGCTGCAGTAGCCGCTACCTTCCCCTTTTCTCTCGCACTGTACGTCCAACCAGTGAGATGTGGCCACTGCATCTGTAGTTCCACCTGTGGCTGCACTCCTGCTCCCTCTACGCCACGGTGAGGGGAACAGAGAAGCTGAAGGAGGTCGAGTAGGAGGGGAGACGGATATCTTTCATGACAGGTGGACTTCTCATCTTTCTCGAGAAGAAAAGAAAAGAAAAGAAAAGAAAAAAAAACCCTCTCACTCTCATTAACCAGCAGACACAAATGAAAGGTAAGAAGATGAGTCTGATATGTTGCTCAGATCTGGAGCACTTTACTGCTTCCATTGTGTCTTTTTTTGTTGTTGCATGTGGGAAATATATCTTTGTTTCAAAGCCAGAAAAAGGTCAGACAGTGGGTTGAGGATTGGAATTGCCGCCGTCTTGCTCTGTGTCTGCCTCAGCGTGCATACAGACGGTGAGCATCAACAGGTGGCCACCACAGCAGCCGCACTCTCTCTTTGACACTAATGAGTGCAGAAGAGTGCGGCTCTGCTAATAGAAAATGTTGACAGCTGATTGTTTTCCAGTCTTTTAGCAGACCGCTGGAGGGAGATCATGTGGCTGAGACATCTGGGGGTGAGGGAGTGGGGGGGGTAGCAGCCCCCCAGGACTGTCACCCTATTTTCTAAGAATACCCACTTTGAACTCCCATTCATTTTTAAGCACTAATCTAAGTGGATTTATTTTTGCTCAAATCTTATAATTTATGTCTGTTTTAATAAAAACTGTACAGTGTTTGTGTCATCCATGCTGGAATGTTTTCTTGGATATTAGCGATGTGTTTTCAGAAGTGTTGTTCATTTCTTTTTGTAAATCTTACTTTCCCTCCAGCCGTTCCCAATCTTATTGTCAACAGAACACACGGTGGCACTGTTGAGATACACAGCTGAACATTTTGGAACTGTTTTTGTGTGACCCCTTTTCTCTTGACATTATGTTTCAAAAACCCCAGTTGTTTGTGGGGAGGTGGGGGGGTGATTGGATTTTTTTTTTTTTTTTTTTTACTGCGTCTGAATGTCGACTTTTCACACAGCCAGACACAGAGAGTGAAAGCAGCTGCTGTGGAGGCTGCATTGAATTTTCTAAGTGAGTACTTAGTCTGAGCTTTGAACATCACCTGTGGTTCTGGCCCCAGTCAGGTTCAGAACAGCAGACAAATGCCCACCTCCAGAGATGTTGCTGGTCAGTCTTCAAGCAGGCAGCAAGCGGAGCTGTCTCTATGGAAATTGCTTTCGTCACAACACTTCCTACCATGCTTGTGCCCGAGCCCTGGCCGTGCAACAGATGCAGACCTTTGACAACACATAAGCGAGATCGCTGCTGAGGGAGGCAACACTGTCAATAAAGCACAGCAGTGGAGCGACAACATTGGTTTATGACAGAACTGACATCATTAGATATTGTGTATTAAGCCGATGATTTCATCACATAATGAAGGACAGTTACACACTGTGGTAGAATGATTATTCCTTAATGTGTTTTATTGTTCTTAACCTTTTCTCAAATGAGCAGGAGATCTCATTACCCTCCTTAAAAAAACACTGGGATTGGAATTCCACTCAAACCCATTGAAAATAACCTCCTGCACTGAATTAGATTACAGCTTTTAGAATCCGATTCGAGACCTGGCATGTTTGATTTGTCTCATTGATACAGTATACTGTGATGGATCTTGTTTAGTGTTAAAAACACAAGGGCTAAAAAAATTACATAAGACCAGCTGGGTAGAAATAAGAACAATTTCATGTTCTTCAGATTTAACATTCTGACAGCAAAAGCACTTAATTCGATTTTCTACAGGATGTTGTGATTACAGCCACAGGATAAGCTACTCAGAACAAACAAGTGTAGCACAAATAACCCCAGATATGCACGAGGGGCTGATGTTTATTATGTGTAGTCATTCAAACAGAAACAGCTGCTAATCTGCTAACAAGATGTAGAGGTTTAGGTTTAGAATGTTAGAATGCTAACTTCAGCCTATAATTACAACAATTGTAGCTTTTACAGTAGGAAAATGTTAAAAAGAAAGGTCACTTGCTTTACTGCACCCCTCTTTTCTGCAATATCTTCACGCCCCTCAGGGGGTCCCATCCCCCACTTTGGGAACTATAACAAATGTGTTTCCTCTATAAAACTCTTCAATAACAAACCACTGCCATAACAGGTAATTAGATAAGAAAAATTAAAATTTCTCGACAGATCAATTAAACACAGTGGAACCTTTAAACGCCTGAACAAATGAATGAGTCATCACTCATTATTATTATCAACCATTCACGTATCTAATTATTGCATTTGTCATTTTTTCCCTCTCTGGAAACAGAATAAAACCCACATCATGCCTGGACTCATTAACAAAGAGAATCGAAGTGCCCTGCCCCTCAGTGATTCTGACATCACTTCCTGTGTCAGGGGTTATTCTCTGGCTCTGACTGCCTCCATGACATATGAAAACATAGAAGATCATGATATTGAGGGTGAGTGTGTAGTGGCTACAATCTGAGATGCGCCTCCTGCTGTGTTGGTGGCCAGAATGTGGAGAACATGGAGAATTTGGCGCCCCCCCCCGCCAGCCAGCATGCACACGTTTAAATAACATTCGGAGAACATGGAGAATTTGGCGCCCCCCGCCAGCCAGCATGCACACGATTAAATAACATTAATCAACATAAATGAAAACAAGCAATTATTAATTAGAGTTATTAAAAACAATGAAAGAAGGTGTTGAGATCAAACAACAGTGTAATATAATATATAAATGGAATTTAAATGTTCTCGTGCAGGCTCACCCCTATTTATATATTTACATATATATTTACATATTTTTACTATTTACATATCTGTTTCATTATTATGATATATATAAATAACTTTTTATTTTTAATACAAACCAAGTGGAAATGCCGATAAAAACTCTCAAAATATAACTTTTATTATTATTTATTGTATTTTTATTATATATTTTAATTAAGGGCTGTCATCATTTAATCAGACTATTTCTTTTTTTAAACAAACTTGTCAACATGTCATGTTTTAATTGTTGTCAGTTGTCTGTTGATATATTCGCTGTTTTTCCTGCCCGTTTAGGGCTCTTCATTTATCCTCTGGAGGAGAATTCCATTGTCGTAGGGTTCGAGGCTATGATATCCAATCAGATTATAACACTGCAGATCAAAGACAAAGCCAAACTGGAGGACTGTTATTTGGACTGCTGCAACATACCTAATGGAGCCCTTCAGAGCAGTAGCGGTAAGATTATACAATCGATACTTTTATATCGCTGCGGGGTCAAATGACAATGTGGAATCTAAGAGGGATCCCAAAGTGATGGAGCCGCAGGGAATTATGACTCTGCAGTTTTGCCATCAGCTTTGTGGAGTCTTTTAGAGGCTCTCTGCTCATTGGTTAGGTTTGATGCGGGGTCGCTATCTTTACTACTGTGTTTGTCTGTTACTGTCAATAAAACTACGCTCAGAAGTAACACAGCAGAATAGTGTGTAGGCTGGAGTATTCCTCATTCTAAAGCAACGGTATAGGAATATGAGAAGTAACGTGTGTCATGATTAATCATAATTAATCAAGGTGAATTGTTATAATTTATAAATATGACACACACCTTTTTTAGCTGGAACAAAGACAAACAGAAAGAAAGACTCCAAGTTGGGTGTCTGAGTTTTGGGGCTTTTGGATTGATTGGTAAAATTGAGAGGTCACAAGTGCCGTGGTTTGCTGTGTCACAATGACAAGTACTGCATTTTCTGGACTATAAGGCGCTCTGGAGTATGACCAACGTGAATTTTCAGTGGTACAGGAGTAGCAGATACTGGTACACAAGCCAAGAGTGCCCTCTAGTGGCTGTCAGTGTGAAATTAACAAACATGTGAAATTATATATTTAATATATAAGTCGCACCTGAGTCACAAACCCAACCAAAGGATGAAAAAAAGTGTGACTTATAGTCTGGAAAATACGGTAGTTCATTTTCACTTAATGTGTTTAGTTGTTCTTGTCGATCACAAACAGACTTTCATTTCCATCAGTTTCCTCTCTGTCGGCTTTAGTTTGTGGTTATTCACCGAAAATACGGTAGTTCATTTTCACTTAACGGATTTAGTTTGTGGTTATTCACTCTGGCGGTCTGATGTTGCAGGACACATCGTGCTGGATGAGGACTTTGAGAGGACAGTGCTGGTGGTTAACCTTGGCAGCATCCCTCCGATGGAGACCGTCCACATTCTGGTCAGTACGTCCTCGGAGCTCTCCACGCTGCCCACCGGGGGCATCAAAGTGTCGTCCCCACCAGTTTGTACTCCTCGAGTTCAGCGGAGCATCAACGAAGAGCAGGGACTGTCTCCAAATTTTTCTAGAACGTAAGTAAACATTTGTGAGACGGTAACAGCTCCAGCTAATATATGAAATCAACGTTGACGATGTCTGTTGGTTTTTAGGCGGGACAGAAATACGTGGGCCTCGAGTCCCCACGATCAAACTCCCAACTCTCCACAGCTGTGGTTGACGTCGCTGCTGGAGGAGGAGGCCATCAACTCCATGGACTACAACTTCAACTTCCAGCTGGAGATACGGGCTCCTTACCTTCTAGCAGGTAAGATAAGCATTTCTTGGAGCAGGGGTTTACAAAAGGTCTTCACAGGAGGGCGCCACAGCACTCAGGGGAAGGCTTGAGAAAACTTGGTGATCTTCCTGTTTTCCTCCAATGTGGCAGCATTTGAAAGCATCAGTATTTGAAAGCCTCAGTTTTGTATTTGCGATGACTGGACAGCTCTGGGTTTTGCTGCAGGTGTGGAAAGCCCTTCTCACGCCATCAGAGCCGATGCCGACCCACTGGCTCGATCAGCCACGAACGTCGTCATCACTCTGGCAGACAAATACACCTACGACTGCCCGGTCGACATCCTCATTTACCCCAGTGGTGAGTGTGTGCCATTATGAAGTCACTGAGAACCGAGCTCCTGCAGAGACCACACTCATATCTGACTGATTTAAAGCACATACATCAAACACAAGGCCTGCGGGCCAAAACCGGCCCCCTACATTACTGTATGTGGCCCACCAGAGCTTAACAAGTGTATGGTTTGTCGTGAATGAAAATCTATAGGGTATACCAGGGGTCACCAACCTTTTTGAAACTGAGAGTGACTCCAAGGGCACTCAGTAATATGAAGAGCTACTTGTTTGATACAGACTTTGCGAACAATGTAATAATAATTAGTTCTGCGACATACAATAGCAGACGCTCCTCTTACCATCGTCATTTGAATATCAATGCAAGTGTAACTGATTCAAAAAGAACAGTAACAGTACAAATATTGACCCTCTTGTTGACTCGTTGTATTTGTAGAGTAAACCCCGCGGGCACCTTAAGTAGTCCATGGGGGCTACCAGATGGACCACGTTGGTGACCCCTGGGGTTGAGTCTATATTTATGTTTACTAGATAGGTTAGTAGAGTATAACATATGCAGACAACATATATTTTTCAGCTCCTTGACTGGTTTGGTGTGAGACCTCTGATTTAACGCCTATGAAAGCAACAGTTGTAGACAGAAGATTTTATTTTTCACTGTATCTGCTCCGAGGCCATTCACCCACATTGTTTGTATGAGTGTCCTCTTGTCGTGCCAATAAAAGTCCCACTCCACTGTGTAGGTGAGCATTTGTCAGGTCCTGTTGGTCTTTCTGCTCCTTTCTGCCCTCCGTGGCTTCCTTGACCCATAGTCCTGAGTGTGTGGGCTACCAGTTGTCTACCAGCGGCAGAAATCAGCCTTGGCTTCACTGATCCAATAGGTCTCTTGTGAATGCTCTGTTCGCAAATAGACCTGAAGCAATTTAATTCAGCTCAGACCGTTGCTGCAGTTTCAATCACAGCACAGATGCTCAAGAGACGGGCGCCCGCATGTGTGTGTATGTGTTTGTGTCTCTGTGTGTGTATGTGTGTTTTGCTGCTTGTGTTTTTCTAGTGTTGTTCATAAGCCTGAAGATAGAAGTTGATTTCTAATTGGGTTTTACAACATCATTGGTTTTATTGTAAATTGTAAAATACTTTTTAATATATTTTTTCAAATACTTTTATAAAAATATATAATTTTTTTAAATATATTTTTTACTTCATGTATCACCATAACACCAGAACCATAAATACAACCAGTCAGTCAGCAGACACAGGGATACACACTTCATCATGGTATAATGCTGGTAGAGGTGTGGCGACATGATCAGTGAAGCTGCATCAGTCATGATAATTCTAAGAAGCTGCAGGAATACAGACTGTGGAACTCTATGAGGAAGTCAGAATGGCAGAAGAGTACATGAGTGCGGTGCAGTGCAGTGCATGTATAAGGAAAGCAAAGCGGTTCTTCGGTAGGCGGTCCGAGTTACTGTACGTCTTATATTCAATGTTGTCTCTTTGTCTCGACTTACTGTACTACTGCAGAGCCTCACGTCCCTCATGTACTCATTGAGAACGGAGACATGACACTGGAGGAGTACGATGAGTATCTTCACGGCCGCAGCGATTTCATCAAGGCCACAAAGAAGGACTCCAGCAATGAGAGGAAAGTGAGTGTGTCTGCACCTATTATTATCATATAGTAATAATAAAAAGAGAATAAAGACACATTTAGCATATTTAGTCTTTTCTTTTGCAGCAGCCACGGGCAAAATATGTAGTTCCAAAACGGCAACAGTGGTCTTAATATAATCTTTAACTCAAAGTGCAGTACTTAGGGATCTTTCTTCTGTGTGTAATAACCTGCCAATACCGCCTTTGAAGATCTGTGTTTAAAAAAAAAGGAGCCACTCAGAGGTGGAAATATCCATAACTCAATTCACGACAGTCAATCTTTACCAAAGCCTAAGGAACCAAACTGATACCAGGCCAGTGTTTTCATTTAGTTATTATTTCTCATTAGGGTGACTTTATCTCTTCACTCGTAAGAATTGTGTGTTTCAGTTCCGTTCTCAGCTGTGTGTGCAGGTTGTTAAGTGAAACAGGAGAAGGAGAAAGCACTTAGCCATAAAAACAGGTTTCTATGGAAACACTCACCACACTCTGCCTGGAATTTCCTGCTCATCGACAATAATTGATATGCACCGTGTGCTGCCTTTGTCTCTTTTCGTCCCCTGGTACCTTTTGTCCAGCGGAAATGTTAAATTATAGCCTGTGCAAATTCAAAGGAAGTCCTGTCAGACGACTGTGTTCCACCGTGTACAACGTCTTGTTCATATTTGCTACACGTGTCTTCACAGGTGGACATAATTCACAGGCGGCTCCATAAGGACATCCTCCACAACCCTGTGGTGATGTTGAACTTCTGTCCAGAGCTCAAGTCCATCAGCTCTGACTTGAGGAAGGTTCACGGTGAATTTATCTTCCTCATTGATCGCAGCGGCAGCATGAGTGGCGTTAACATCAACCGTGTGAAGGTATTTCCAGTCCCGCTGTGTGTGTTTTGTACATATACTGTACATATACTGTACATATTTGCATGTAGACAGGTTGACACTGTGTATGTACTGTGAATCACATAAGGCCCACTAAGAAATAGATGAGCCAACCTATTAAATAAGCTGTGATACTGTTCATATGGTTGTCCAAATACATCGTTTTAAAAGCTCAGGAGCTAATGCTATTGTCGTTCAGCAAAACACATTAAAAAGCAATACATGCCACTAGAGGCTCTGAATTGCTTTCTTGGCTCACAGCCATAGTGATCTGCAGACCAGACCGTGGAGAGAGACAACTGTGTGAAGGAATACAAGGATATTGATCAGACAAGTCACTCACTAGTCACCGAACAGCTCCCAGTGGCTAGGTCCCTCAGACAGTGTGTCTTAAAGGTTTTATTCAATTTTACATAAAGCCACATTCACTCCTAGAACCAGTGTCAACAATGACCATAATCCACTGGACATTTTTTCACACTCACGTTCTATAATATTTGACTTGTCACCTTACATCCAAAGAAAATCAACAGAATATACTGTTTATTCAACATCCAGGTCTCTGAGCTCTGGGACTACCAGCGATAATTTCCTCCCTATTTTTTCCTAATTATAATATTAATAATATTATATCTCTTTGTTCTTGTAATATGTTCTGGGTGAAAAGGTTGAGCAACATGTTTTTTCCTGCAGGGAGTGCTGTAGACGAGACAGTGATGGATGTTTAATGTCGCAGTGTAATCGTACTCTCCGCACTCTGCAGGAAAAGGCTGCTGTGATTCGATGACAACAGCACAGCCCGCGCTCACATTCAGCCATGTCATCTGGACATGGACATAGTAAATCAGTGGAAATGATCAATTATCTTAAAGGAGCATTAAGCAGCTAATGAGCTCAACCAATTCTACCTTTTACTACCTGTATGTGTCTTTATCTCTGTCTCTGTTTTATCTTTTTTCCTGGACATTCTTTAATTCTTTTGTCAATCTTTTACTTTTTCTTTTCAGGATGCGATGGTGGTCATCTTGAAGAGCCTTGTGCCCGGCTGTCTGTTCAACATCATTGGCTTTGGCTCAACATACAAATCCCTATTTAACACCAGCCAGAACTACGAGGAGGTAAAAAACAAAAAAGTTCTTATTTCTCAAAGGCTAATAATGAAATAGTTAGTACTGAGAAGTACAAGTGCTGCTCAGTTATGCAGTTCATTTTTGTAGCATTTTTATATCAAATAATATATTAATAATATTAAATATTAAACTTTGCCAAGGCAGTGTATTAATACCACAGGTGGTACGCGTACCATAGTTTGAGACCCACACTTGTAGAGAAGAGCAAAGCTGAATCATTCTGTGTAGCTGTGAAGCCCTTTGTTATTTTTTATGTTTGTGTTCTTATGGCTATTTAAAAAAAAATTAACTTAAGCATCAGTAAATTGCAACACTGACATTATAACTGATTCTGTGTGTGTGATATTCCAGGAAGCCCTGGCTGTGGCCTGTGATTATGTCAGGAAGATCAGAGCAGACATGGGGGGCACCAACATTTTGGCACCACTTAACTGGATCCTGAGGCAGCCTATGTTCAGTGGACACCCCCGCCTGCTCTTTCTGCTCACTGATGGGGCCATCGGCAACACCGGCAAAGTCATTGAACTGGTCCGCAGACATGCCCGATACATCAGGTCAGTGACAAACCAGGCAAAAAAAACCCTCTTACAATAACAACACAAAATATGTATAAAAAAATAAAAACCCATAAAATAAAGAATCTGCGTGAAAGTTGCTACACTTACTACAGCCTAAAACATGCCTGAGAAGGTTAACTGTTTACTCTAATATGTGTGTGGGCGCAGTGAAGTAAAGGTCAGTTCACACTAGGATTCTTTTTTGTTTGCCCTCGGACTAAAAACAAATTGTTCTTGAATACTAAATGACACCTTTTAGTTTTTATTGCTTTTTTAAAAATGTACTACATTTTTCAGACACTAGGGTGGCAATGGCTTGACTTAGGGGGGGGGGTCAAAGCAGTAGGTTGTACATCCATCTTTAGTTAATTCTCATATTGCAAATACAGGAAATGGAAGAGATAACACAGATATTACAATCTGTGACTGTCAGGGAAGAAACACCTGGGTGTGTAGCCTTAATCCGTTCAAAATTAAATTCAACCGCCTCCTTAGTATTAATGGCTCAGGTTACATCTCACCGCAAAGAATCTGTTGCAATGCAGAAATTACTGCAGGCTGTGATCAACAACAACAACAACAACAACAACAACAACGCCACAGAATCATCTGTAAAGCTGGGAGTGTGCCGCGGTTGTGGTGGAGCAACTCCATTTCTAGGTGGTTCTAAATGCAATTTTGCACCACAGTGATTTGGTCCACTTTAGTTGGACCATAGTTCATCTAGTTAGTTTGTTTTGTCTCACCAGGGGTGATGGCTAATTGGAATTCAAGTGCAGACCAAACAAGCTAACTCTGTTTCACATAAAAATCGCTTGGAAGTGAAAAATGTAAACAAACTATTTTGTGAACCAAAGTGAGAGAGTAAACAGAAGAGAGAAAATAACCAAAAATACCAGAGTTTAACCAAAAAGAGTAACTTAAGAGACAAAGCCAACCAAAGACAGGGAATTAACCAAAAAGGAAAAGGATGTTTCTAGTGAGAAAACAAAGCTAACAACTGGAAACAAAGAATTGAAAAAAAGTCTCTTTTAGGCAGAGTTGGAGTAGTGAGGAAGTGCATCTTTAATTTAGTGTTGGAGGAATTTATCACTCTTAGTTGTGGCTGAAGAGATGGATTTTGGTTTTTGGTCCTGGTCAATAGATGTTGTTTCTAGCGTGGTACAAACTGCTCGGTCTACTTATTAACGTGCATGGGAAGTGAACCAAAACTACACAAAATGAACCAAATCACATGAAGGGGTCAAGAATTTGGGTTAGCCACTGAAGTTGTTTGCAATGAAGTTGACCTTCTCTCAGCGTCAATGTGACAAGAAGAATAAAGTATTAAACGGGGAATTTAAAATGGAGCAGGTGTTTCTCCACTTTTCACCATTAAATTATTTATCGTACCTCTAAACTGTGTTTGACAAAATAACTTTGTTCTCTGCCTCTGGCTCTGAGGCCCAGTCAGGACTGTGTTGTGTTGAGCAAGCACCAAAAACACCCCCGCTCCCTGAGCAGATCTCAGGAAAGAAGAAAAAAAAAACCTGTGTCCAGAGCTCAGGATTAAATGCTGGTTATTTTCCCTCAGGGAATGATGTGGTTCTGAAAGTTGTATTGAAAATAAAAAATTAATGACCTCCTTGTCTTTGAATAACCATTAAGCTGCAGTGTTTATCGTGTCTGGCAGATGTTTCACCTTCGGCATAGGGCAGAACGCTTGCAGGAGGCTGGTGCAGGGACTGGCGACAGTTTCTAAAGGCACAGCAGAGTTCCTGACGGAGGGGGAGAGGCTACAGCCCAAGGTACTCGTTTCCATCTTTGTGTATCACTCCTAATGACCGAGCTATTCTGAGTGCTGCTGAAGAGCCATTATTCCATGACTGCCGCTCATATCAATTAGGAGATCATATCTCAGACGCCACTGGCTTACACTCTGGTCAGACGGAAGCCTCCTTTTATATTTAAGAGTCTGTTTTCCCTCCACAGATGATAAAGTCACTGAAGAAAACTCTGTTGCCAGTGCTGAGTGACATTTCCATCGAATGGCTCTTCCCTGAGACCAAAGAAGTGCTGCTGTCACCAGTGGGCAACACCTTCCTGTTTCCAGGGGACAATCTGATCGGTTACAGCGTGGTCTGCGACACCACCCGTTACCATGCCAACCCCAAATCTGTAAGTCATACATTCCTGTTGAAATCACTCAAGATGACAATCTGCAATGTAAAAAATCGGTCCTTTAACCCGCGCTGCAAGCCTTTTAACATCACATAAATCACTCCGCTGTTAGCTTCAAAGTGTATCTGATTAAAGTCTGCTTGGAGATAAAGGCCACAGACCAGAAACAGATGATTACACTGAAAGATACCCTTCACTGAAGCGCTCTTTGGATGTGTCGATTACTAAACACCAAACAGGATAAGAGAAGGAGATACAGCATGATGCGTTCAACGGAGTCAGCCAGCTCGGTGTTTTACCACTCTCAAGAGGAGGACCCCGTTAAAATGAATACTGAGGGTCACGGCCCCTGCAGAGAACCAGTCCCTGGCACTTCGTACCACTCCTACCACAACTCCACTGCAGAGGGCAGCCCCGCCACCATAGAGCCAGATGTCACAGGTAAGAACTGTACAGGCTAGTTCACCCCTTTGACAAAATGTACTCTATGTACATTAAAACTGACTACAATTGGTACTCAGTACATGCTGCTTTGGTTTCGTTCCAGATTCCATGTTTATGCAAAATTAAAGTTTGTTTCCATATGAAACTATTCTAGATAACTTATCTGGAGAGAAGGGAAAACATGCACAAACAGTGTTTGTTTCCATATGAAACTATTCTAGAAAACTTATCGGGAGAGAAGGGAAAACATGCAAAATGGCCGTCAATTTTTCAATAAATATTAAGTTTGGCCTACGATTTCATCTGAGTTTTTAATTTTGGCCCACTGTGAATTTGATTTCTGTAACTGGGAGTCGCAATCTTGCCGTGTATTTTGTGCTGAAAGCAGTTTCACAAGTGCTCTATTATTAGATAAGACCTCTCCAAGAAGGAGGGCGTACAGCACCAACCAGATCAGCGACTACAACTCTGCCAAGAAGGTCTTCACTCCCAGTGACACAGCTTCTGTCGTGGCTAAGAACCCACTGAGAAGAGCCAAGGCTCAGGAGCTGATAGGTCAGATGAGTCCTGAACATGATGCACAGTGGAGGAACGACTATCAGGTACGAGCCCTGACTTTGTAGAGATAAATTCTCAAGATGAAATACTTCAAGCTTCATAGTGGAATAAATCAGAGGCGTTATTTTCAACTTCATGTTTGTTTCTCAAATTGAGTTCCTTAAAACGTTGGGGATTGAGAGAATTACAAAGTGCCATCTGGTCGGATTTCAATCCATCGTGAGGGAAAATAACTTTCTTTTCAGCCACAGATTTCCAACCTGTGCACAACATCATCTAGAGGGCGTCCAGCCATCTGCCACAGGCCGCTCCCTCAGCAGGAGCCGGCTGTACTGCAGGAGGCAGCTCCAGAGTCTCAGCCCCAGGCCCATGACAACAAAGTTGCCAGCAGCAGCAGCAGCAGCCGCAGCAGCAGCAGCAGCAGCAGCCGCAGCAGCAGCAGCAGCAGCAGCCGCAGCAGCAGCAGCAGCAGCAGCAGCAGTACTAGTAGCAGCAGTGGGGGGGTGTTGTCAGCAGCTAGAAACACCACCAGGGGGTGTGTTTCCAGGTCTTCGACTGACAGCCCATCTGTCGGCAGCGTCGGAGACACGGGTGAGACCACACGCCACAGTGTGTTACTGAGGTTTAAAGTGAATGTAAATGATACAGTGGACCTCCGAGATAAAAGTTTAATCTGCGTTAACATCAGAATCCGTGGAAAATGATACAGTGGACCTCCGAGATACAAGTTTAATCCTGCGTTAACATCAGAACTCGCGGATTCCCCATGCTGTACGACTGACTGGATGCTAGTCCAGAACTCTCGTAACTAGATATTTCCTCATATCATTAGGAAAATCTTGCAATAGCTGCAGACTCGTAACATGAAATAGTCGTATTCGAAGCTCGTATCTCGGGGGTCCACTGTATAAGATCAAAAATGGATTTTGGGATTAAACCATTATATGAGGCTATGTAATAATGAGGCACAAAGCATAAACGCCAGTCAACTTTTATCCACGATATCAATAACACTAAACCAGGACACATTTTCAGATGGCTACGGACACCAACTGTGTCAAGCAGAAACACCACAGGAGACCCATGTTTCAGACCTGGAGTCTATGAACCAGTGCAGAGGAAACTGTAAGGCTGTAGTGTCTGGGCTGCTGTGTGGAAAACCGATGAGGTGGGAGGTGGTCTTTGAAATCGAACCGTACCTGAATGGGCGAGAACGAGAAGAAAAAGTTCACGAGGAGCTGTGGAACGAGACCTTTCATCACCTGGCGGGTCACTCCATCCTCCACGACTTTGAGCACATGGCGAAAAGAGAGTGTGAAATAGAGCATGGTGAGCGCTTGACAAAATAAACACAAGTAATAAATTAATATAACAACGTTTTTTGTGGTGATTACATAAACAATTTCTTCTTTGTAGAATTCTGGCCTGTAGATTCTTTTACTTGTTGGGAAATCAGAAAGAGCTAGAACAAAAAAATATGCAAATTTCTTAACATGTAAATTAACTGTAAAATACTTGTGAAATGACATGCTGCATAATGTTGTCTTTTTCATATTTATTCATTTGTAGGCTCAGGCAGGAAGTACCAGATATATGCAATTCAAACCAGCAAAGCCTGCAATATACTGAGCAAATACACGGCGTTCGTTCCCATCGACCTGGACACTAATGAGTATCTGCCGACGTGTATTGAATACATAAACCCCAGTAAGTCAAAAGAACTGATTACGATGATGTTCCGTCGTTAATTCATTCCAAAGCTCGCGTATGTCCAATCAATGCTAACCTATGGAGCACTAGCCTTGGGAGCTAAATGTGTGTACATTTATATCAGCTCTAGATCTGGTTTGCTGTATTTTTCTGCAGTGTTTTTGATCAATATAATTTTAGTATGTCATGGTCAGCTTTAATTAAATGGTTGTTGGATGGGGTCATTGGTGTTGAGATTCTCGGGAGCAGACCCTGAGAATCTTCTCAGCTTAGCTTTAATATCACATCTTAATTTCTTTTAGATATAGACCAAACACATTTGCTATTGCTATTCTATTTTCTTTTACTTCTCTCTAGTTTTAATCATACAAGGTCACCAAATAACATCACTGTAAACAGCGCTAGTTGTTGAGGTATAGTGGGTTATAATCTTAACCTAAGATGTTATTAAATAAAAATACTAATATTTGGGCGGTCCAGGCAGATGTAGGTACATGGAGCCGAGCAAAGTAATTAAACATTTGATTAGAACATTGTTTTGGCCTCAGCTAATGTCTTTGTCTGAGACAAATTTGATATCGCAGAAGGCTCTTCAGAGACAAACGTTCAGACTTAATTAAATTGAGTTTGTGTTTTGCTGCGACACGAAGAGACACGAGCGGGATTTTAAATGATTGTTTTTTCAGGTGAAGGTCATAAGAAGGGCTCCCACTCAGGCTCTCGTTCAGGGAGCAGGAAAAACAGGGGTTACTCCATCGGCCTGGGTCGCTCGCAATCTGGTGGCATGTCTGAGGAAACTGAAGATCACCACGTGGCCAACAGTAGGCAGTCAATCCAAAATACATGCTTACTTTTGAAATATACAGCAATGTATAGTCAATCCAAAATACATGCTTACTTTTGTAATATAAAAAACAGCAATGTATGTGCAGGGAGAATATACTGTAAAGCTGCGTTGCCAAACTTGAGGATCTAAGAAGTAACAAACAGCTGTAAAAATACTTCAACTGCAGCATAAGGTCACTGGATTTAAAATTGGCTTCTAGTGGTGGCATGGCAACAGCAGGCACGAAGACCAGAACTGTTTAAACACTGCTGGTAACAACAGCCTGAGCCTTGAATTACATCACTTTTTGCATCAACATATCTGTATATTATCCCTGTGAGCTGAAGAACATCTGACTTTTTATCTCCTGTGTCTCAGGTGGAGAGGATGGTGTCTCTCCATGCAGCACTCCCTCATCGGCTGGCTGGGAAAAATGTAGTTTCACAGAAGGTAAAACCAACGACACATCAGCCAGCAGTTGTTCTAGTGGTTCACGAAATGTTTAAGACTTTACATAAGACTTAAGAATTTAATCGGCATAAATAAAGCCAAATAGTTCAACTAAAACCAATTTGTCCTCCTGCCGCCATAGCTCCGTGGCCCTAAAGAGGGACCTGCCCCCCATATTCAGAAACACTGTGTTAGACACAAACAGAACACTGCAGATAAATCCTACTTGTTTTCCACTATGACAGTTACAGTTTGTTTTTCTAGCTTTCTTACTAATGCTGAGAACAATGTAGGTGACAATAAATGCCCAACTCTGCTTCTCCCTCTCTCCCCAAGTCTCCCAGAGGAGTCCGTCTGTGACCTCGGACCAATCACAGAAATCGGTGGAAAGCCTTTTTTCTGCCAGGTAGGTGTGTGGGTACCGACTGGCGGCATGAATACTCTGGAGCTGTGGCACTGCAGCATAAACAAAGTTGAGACTTCAGTCACTGCTGCACATTTCTGGTAGAAATGTTTTCAACCACTGTCATGTTTTCAGCAAAACATCAGTCAAAGTCCCAGTGACGACAACTGCAGCCTTTAGTCATTGAATTTCTATTGAATACAATGCCACAATATGTATGTTAACTCCTTATGTTGTTATGATTTTCAAACAGCTATTGAAATGTTTTGAGCAGGCTGTTTAAATAACGGTTATTTACACGCCTGTCTCCTGCTTCTTTGTAAGGTTGGCTCTCAGCAGGACTCGCCTCCTGACTCGCGCTGCTAAAGGCTTCATGAGTCGATCTCACAGCAAGTCTGGGGATTCCATTGGTGAGAGCGACAACGACAACAGAGATTACATTCCTCTGGTGAGTCGGATGAGTTAGCGGCAGTTGGGATGACAATGCTCCGTCTGTTGTCGGCAATAGTTGACTAATTTTGAGTATCTTTAACAAATACAATGAAGTATGTCGAGTGAAAAATAAAATCTTTCCTTTCTTTGTTTGCCAGTTAAACATAAACAAAACACTGCATATGGGGAAAAATAAAAACGAAGTTATCCCTAAAATGAAGAATATAATATATAATATACAGTAAGTCAAAATGACATAGAAAAATATGAACGAGAAAGTAGAGCATACAGTGATTCAGGGATATTGCAGAAAATCAAAAAAGGTCAAACACTAGAGAAGAACGACATCATCTTTCCAGGTAGAAATAATCGGCAGATCCAGACTCAGAGTGTGCAGTTGATGATATCAGTAACGCGTGTTCCTTTTGTGCACAGTTGTTGTTGCAGTTGGCCTCTGGGGCATTTCCTCTGGACACAGCTCTATGTGACGCCATTAACGTGCCAATGGACAAACTGAAGTGGACGTCTCCCTTCACCAGCCATCGCACCAGTCTGGGCCACTTGTCTCACTCCAGCAGCCGGCGTGCCGACAGCGCTGAAGAAGGCCTGAGATCACCATGTGAACCAGACACATGTCAACATCCAGGAGAACAGGCCGTGGGCGCTCACAGCCATTCTCACCCACCCAGGAGCCCGGGCAGTGAGTCGTCTCCCGCCGAGCCCCTGTCCTCATCAAATACTCAGTTCGACAGTGGGCGGAGCTCTAGTTCAGGGGGACTGGAACCGTCAACACCTGCTGGTGTCAGGAAGAGTCCTGAGAGCATGGTGTGGGCCACGGCTGTGGCTCTGGCCTGGCTGGAGCACAGCTGTGCCAGTTACTTCATCGAGTGGGAACTGGTAGCGGCCAAGGCCAGCATGTGGCTGGATGAGCAGGACATCCCAGAGGGCCGAGATCTGGCCTCGGTCAAGGCCGCTGCCAACCAGCTGTTCATCATCCTCAGGCACTGGGATGAAAATCTGCAGCTTAACATGCTGTGTTACAACCCCAACAGCGTGTGAGAGCTCTTCACTCAAGGCCAACACCGAACACTAAGCGCACTCAGTCCCCTACGATACTATGCTAACCAAGGCTGTATTATTCTTCATTCAGCAGTCTGTCCTCTGGAGTCAGATTTTTTTTGCTGTCAGTTGTGAGTGGTGTTTATCTTCTTCTGGTGGTTCGCTATTCCTCCAAACATATCACAGTCTTCAGAGGCAAGTGTAAGCTGTTACTTCCTGTGTGCCACATACTGTAGCTGGATCCTTGCTAGTGAAGGATCAAATCTGAGTTGTTGGGTTTTTTTTTTCTTCTTCTTCTTCTTTTGTTTGAGGACAGTGTCAGTGTGCATTCTGTAGCATGCTGTACCCCTGACTATCAGTGTTTGAAAGATGCCGTTATTGTCATCGTCTTGATGTCTGGGGTGGGGGGGTAGGGTTGGGGGGGTGTAGTTGTTCCATCTTCACAGCACTTCTGTGTTGACTGTATTGCGTGGAGAAAATGTGACATCAAAATGTCTGGGTAACTGCTCGTCTTTTTGATAGTGATCCTCTTATTTGCCCCTTTGTAGGTGATTGTTGCAGAAACACGTAAAAATATGCAAAAAGGCTAAAGAAAATATGAAGTTAAAATTGAGCTTTTTTTTATTACATGGAATTGGTGAAAAATGTTTGACTGTTGTTTCCCACTGGCATGCTACGTGTTAGTGATTAGATTTTTCTTATTTCCTTTTTTTTTTGTTATTCAAAGAGTGTAGGACAGACTGGGACGCGGTTGGAACATCTGTTTGAAATTAAATCCTATATTATATTATAGTATACACGTATAACAGCAGCTACTGGTAGGACTTAAGTGGTGAGCATTAGTCTTTTTGACATGTTTAATTACATTCAAACTAACATTGTCCTGGTTGTTGTCATTCGTGTATGCACTGACCGATACTGAGTGCCGTCACCAATACTTGTCTAGGATTGAGTTTCAATGAAAATGGAATCAACTGAAAAGTCAGTGTGATATAGGTAACACATTTCTGTGGGTAATTTGAAGCCCCTCATATGTTCCCACAATGGGGACGAATGCAAAACACACAGGCTGCCATAGGAGGCGCCAAAAAGTATGTGGTTGAAACACATGTGGTTCTCCAGGGGCTCGAACAGGGGACCTTCTGCATGTGAGCCTGATGTGTAAGGCAGGCGCCCACTTTATTTTCTTCTCATTCTTTCAGAAGTGAGGACAGGTTTTACCAAACCAATGTTTTCAAGACTACTAGCATCTTAATGACGTGTCAACAGCAGTACTGCTGTCGGACCACCGCTGGTAGAAATCTTGAAAGCAATTTTCTTAGAGACAAAAAAAACTAAATCCAAATGTAGCATTAGCATCAGCCTTTTTTTAAGTAACACAAACATTGGCTGTAAACTGTTTTCTAGGTGTGGACCAGCTTCCTACCAGAGTAGGTTCACTGGAAATGTGGCTTTGTTCTGCGGAGGCCCATTGTCATGTAAAACTGACTAATAAGAAAAAAGTAGTCATTATTAGCTAACCTTAAGACTGTTTAAAGAAACACCTTAGATGTAAATCCGAGTGTGAGTGGTTGTTCGGACCGGGCTGGAAACGGATAAGGGATTAGAGAGGAGATGGATGGATGTAATCATGCAACGTGGAAGAAGAACGTTTGTTCACCTAATTGTGCTGAGACAGTCGTTCCCATGGGGCTTTCAGGGAGTCAATTGTAGATACACAGCATTCTGAAGACAAAGAGGAAAAAATCTTTAAAACAGCCCATCTATCAGACAGTGATTAAAGGCTGAGGTTTTCTAACCTATTCTTAGAGACTGTCAAATAATTTAAAGACTTTAAAAAAAGAAATAGACCTATCATTCCCTTTAGGGTAAAAAAAATAAAGAAAACCTATCATTCCCTTTAGGGTAAAAAAATAAAAATAAAGAAGAGCCTTATTACTAGGCATGTCCGAATTACTTTTGTGCCGATATCTGGTATGCTGGTATTGTCCAAACAAAGAGCCTTATTACTAGGCATGTCCGAATTACTTTTGTGCCGATATCTGGTATGCTGGTATTGTATTTTCCTAAAAACAATTCAAATGAGCTGCAATGCTGCCATATAGTGGCTTTCACCTTCATATAGAGCCGTATTTTCCTAAAAACTATTTTAGCACATAATTTGGTGAAACTTAGACATTGCATTATCGGATTTTCAATATGCCAGAAAAATGATTCTTACAGATATTACATAATTATGCTAATATCGACGTCCCTAATTATTACCAGAGGCTTGTGCGCACCACTGTTTTTTAAAGCAAGAGACGTTTTCTTTTTTTTTTTTTTGCAGAAATCAAAAGTCAACATTTTCAGGAAGAACCTAACATTTCCCGATTGGTGTGATTGGAATGATCGCTATTGTAACTGAGGGTAGGACACCACCAGGACGACCTGTGGTAATCTCTTGTTAATCTGGCAGCATCTGAGAGCAGAAAGTCGAAATGGCTCGTTCCATCAATGTCAAAGCTCATTTACCGCAAGTGCCTAACCAAGGTTTAAGTCGGCAGAAAATGTAGACGTGTAGGCTGCAGTTTAGTCAGTGTGGACAACGGCTCATTATTTTCATAGATATATTATTGGGTAAACCTTTTGTGAAAAATCGTTTCCTCTGTAGTCGGTGGCGTTCAAGTATTGATTTTCTACTTATTATTCCATCACAGTGTTGCTTTACTCAGGTATTTGTTTTCTCCCCTCAGGCTAAACTGTACAAGTACTTCTGCATGAACAGGTAAAAATGTGATGACGTTGGACGACTGAGTTGCCTCTTTGGAGCCTAAGCTGCAGTATTTTAATCTCTGAAGTGAGAAAAACAGTAGATGTCATGCACTTTTATTAAATTTCTGTGCTGTGATTGCAGTAGTAAGTGGAGCTGTGATTGTAATAATATGTATTTTTTTATGTACCGGGTCAGCTGTATAGTGAAGTATCCTTTGAACTGCTGTGTGTGCCTTCATAATTGTTGAAGTATTGACTGTTTGAGGCTGTTGAAATCTTCTGTATCGTCCTTAAAACTGTTGATGCTTTGGCCATCTTTACAGGTGCATGGAATAAAATGATTCTTTAACCAAAGGTAAATACACTCTCTGATGCTATTGTTGACTCATTGTGAACCAGGATGGATGTGTGTTAGGACCCAAGTACTAGTGTAATCAACATGCATTAAATCTATAAATTAATGGCTCTTGCGACACAAGATGGTAAATAACATTGGCTAAACTAAAAAATAAACAAACAAAAACATTCAAATTGCATGTGGTAGAGATGAAAGCTTAAATTTGAGGGGGTGAATTTGGCTTTTCTAAAAAGGTCAACTTTGGTAGTTTTGAAAAACATCCTGCTTCGGTTTCAGTCACGACACAGTGGAGAGAATTTTATATTTATTTAAGACTAGAATTTTGTTCAACTTGTCTCCTTTGACACATGGTGACATACTTAATTACCGATTTCAATAGTTACTAACAGTTACATTTGTTGTTGACATTAGATAATAGTTCTTGTGAGTGCCTACCTAAATTAACCTTTTTAGCAATTTGTTGGTAAGTTGGTAAATTCTATCAACAGCTGATATAGCAGTAGATGTTGATGACTTTTTAGCACCATGTAAGTATCATCTCCCCTTAATGTGATCTGCTCACATTTAGCAGCTGTTGCTAAGAGAATACACACTCCACACTTCACCTGTCTTTCCCTGAAATCGTGACAGCTCACCCGAATTACTGCGGCGCTAATGGCCGTCTCTATCTGTTCATTTGCCGTCAAAGACCACTCACATGACACAGAGACTCATTTGAACAAAACGACAGAAACCGATCTTATGTTGCTAAGTGGCTCAGAATAACAGTACAGTTTATAGTTGCTATGCACAAAATGAGATCAACAAAGAGTAAAGAATAAATCAGAGGTTTTGCTTTGGCAAAATTAATTCTGGTTAAATAATCAACAAAGAGTAAAGAATAAATCAGAGATTTTGCTTTGGCAAAATCAATTCTGGTTAAAAGAAGTCTAAAGTCTCTCTGGTGCAAGCTGTATTTTAATTTAAAATATTTATGAAAAAAACAAAGTTCTGTTTGGTTTCACACTGACATAATCACGTTTCTGTTTTGTTTTTTTCTTTATCCTCACAGGTCTATTGACAGAGTATCTTGAGAGACAATTATGGGCTGCTTAATCTCCTCTGGCTGCCTAATGGAGGCAGATGTCTAATATAATCCAGGCTAATATATCAGAGCAGTTTCATGTGCAATAAACAGCTCACACAACAGACATAAGTAATTGCAGTGTCTGGCTGAGAGACATTCAGAGGTACGTCACAGGACGAATGAGCCAATGTCTCAGATCAGGGAGCTAAGAAATTAATCGGAGGAGGAACACTTCCAGTGGAAATTATTAGTGTTTTCATTTCTCATTTGAATGATCTTAATTTTGTTTTTATGCTGTGGTAAAATTGAAACATAATAAACGGCATTTGGTTTAATTACTTCTTTCTGCAAATGGGTTCATTTATAATAATCAAAGCGATACATTCTCACTATTAGTTTGTCAGATCCGTTAAAAAAAGTTTGCACCCAAGGTCAAATGGAGTCACCTTAAGCTGAGGACAGACTCAAGTTTTGATTTATATATATAGAGAGAGAGATTGTCAGGGTGCTTTATATATATAGAGAGAGAGATTGTCAAGGTGCTATATGTGTATATACATACACACATATATACAAATATAAATATATATGTATGTATATGCATGCAAGCAATCTCTACTGTATGTTGGAGCATATGGTAAACAGTGTATAGTCCCACTTCATCATTAGGCCTCTGTATGGTCCTCATCAGGCAGTTCTTCTGCAGACCACTTAAGTGGAGAATAATAGAGAGCGAGTCTTTGATGGTTCACTGAGTGTCAGCGCAGTCACTGGTCCTGCTAAACTAAAGGGTTTCCATGGTGTCAGACCAAAGCTGCTGCTGCTGCTGCTGCTTTCATGTTCTGCAGATCACCACAATGATGAACTATGATGTCTTCCTATATGACCAGAGGAGGAACAAGTGTGTTTTTTGACCAGTGTGATCCAACCATTTTATATCATTTTAAGATATGATTTTTTTTTTTGGACCAAGGCTACAGTGTGGAGGAGTGGTCAGTGTTGTTGCCTAATAACTAGAACATCGCCAGTTCAATCCCAGTAGTAAGTTTTCTGATGGTTTTAAATAGAACATATAGAGTGTGAGTGTGAGTAGGTTTTTGTCTCTTAATGGAACCCTATGTTGGATGTGTGACACTGTCCTCATCCAATCACTGCTCAGATTACCTCCAGCCCTCAGTACACGTGGAACATGTTGAACTGCCTATAATCTCTGTAATCTACCACCTAAATCTTCGTCATGGTCTCAGGGGAAACTAGCATCGTTCCCAGCAGTTATCGAGGTCAGGTCAGAGTACGACCTGGACAATGTGCCATTCCGCCACAGAGACAAATAAAACTTTACACTAACAATCACACCGAACTGAACAACAAACATAATCTCCATCCTGATCTTGGACTATCGAAGAAAACCACACACACACATGAATCACTGGGTGGCCTGAACTTTTTGTTTTTTTAATAGAAAAATATGTCTTTGACAATCAGTGAGTTTAACTAATTATCAGTCATTAAACTCTGAACAGGATTTGACAGGAAGTTAACACTTTTGTCTTATGTAAGTCTGCAATCAAACTCCTAAGGCGAGGAAAACACGAGAATGAGCAGGTTAAAGGTTGTTCTGTAGGCTCGACGGCGACGTGACTTTTATCAGCGTCACTACATCCTGCAGATCGCTGTGCAACGTGCTTTTCCAGCTCATTAATAGTATATCTGACATTTAGCTGAACATCCAGTTCTTTTTTACAGCACCAACAGCAGCAGCTCAGTCCTGGACACTACGTCTACGCCTCGGCAATTGAATATTCATGCAATGATAATGCCATAGTTGAAGTGTTACCTTAAATCACACAGATGAGGTTCAGAGGCACAGTTTGGGACTGGGGGTGAGGAGGGTGCCGGGGGTGAGGGGGTGTTATGCAGCCCAAGTCAAATTTTGTTCCCAGAGAAAATGTCTGGTTTTCCTCAGAATTGAGTATGATTTAAGTTATACTTTTGTATATTTTCCTTGTCATTTTTCACATCATTTAGATTTGTCACAAAGTGTGAAACACATACATCTACCTGCTGTCATTCTTCTGTCATATGTTTTACCTCGATTAATCAATAGATGGTCATTTTTATTATGATTAATCATGATTAAGATCAATCCACAGCTGTCCTGTGATTAATCTGATGAAAAGTTTGAATCGATTGACAAGTCTGGTGTTTTTACTTTCCGTTCATACTCCTCGACCCAGGATTCAGGACATGGTGATCAGTGCTGTTCTATCACATGCACACACTCCCTCCTCTGGCAGAAATATTGCCCTTCTAAAAATAGTCTTCTCACTGAGTAAACAATCTGATAATGTCAATTTACTGCAGCTTGTGTTAGTCTACATTAGTCTTTAACAAGGTTTCGGATTTTTAAAAAAATGTTATTAGTTGAAAATGAAGCTGGAAAAGCTGATTACAGGACAGTTTAGTAATCAGTGCTCACGATGCTCAGGGTTGGCTCTGAGCATCTTAACATATTCAACATTGCCTTCTCACCTGTACTGTGCACTGAGGCCGGCTGACTGTTAGTCATTAAAGTCAGACACTATGAAGAACGACAATAGAATCAGGTCAGCCTGTCCCAGTTCTTTAGCAGCAAACGTCCTGATGGGTGGCTGCACAATTATCTTCCCAACACCTCAGTTTGCCTCATCACTCCGTTCACTCATGCTGTTCCTAACAAACACAAGAATATGCACTATAAGGTGTACGTGAAAAGAAAAAAATAATCACACAATATCAGTTCAGAGGAGACGAGACATTTTCAACACGACTGTACCTATATTAAGTAATTAAAAGTGGATTACACACAAGTTGCACCTCTTCCCCCTTGTGGTGGGTTCTATGAACTGTTGCCCTGGTGCACGTATTAACTTACAAAACCACAACAACAACAACAACAAAAGAAAACACTGGAACTGTAGCGCGTAACCTCACTTACCTAAGTTAAAACTGATGAACATAATCCAGGCCAGTAGGTGGCAGTGATGGACTTAAAGTTAGTTTGCAAGACAGAAGAAGAGGCATTAGATAGTTTGCAAGACAGAAGAAGAGGCATTGGATGCATTGAGGAACTTCAGTGGACAAGTTTGGTGATTAGTAACAGAAAACGAAAATGCATCATTACTGTTTATGGTTGTGATGAGAAATTTGTACTTAAAAAGAAAGAAAGTCCATGACCCTTATAATGTGAGAACGCCAACAGCTCACAACTCAGTGTTTACCAAAGGAACGTCCATCAGAAGTGGGTCTGTTTGGGCTGCAATTGCATATAGCCACCAGTGGTGAAGGTGGCGCTGTGTCGAAATGAGCAAATGAACCGACGCTAAACAGAGAGCCTCTCGCCCATAAAACTTAGAATTAATTTAATTTAAAAAGCACAGAAAGAGCCTTATTTAACGGATTGTGGCAAATCGATTGCTGAGAATGAGTATTGCTTTGCACCAAGCAGGTCAAATTATTTAAAAAGTGATTGTTACATGCCATATGAATTTGTGTTTCTAAATCAGTTAACGTTACCAGTTTTTACTAATCGACCGCGAAAAGACAAGGGTGAAGCAGTGCAGGCACTGTCATGGGCAGCTAAACAGTTAACAGTTATTAGTGTTATAAATTAAATATGGTAAATCCATTAGACATGAAAGCAGTGAAGCTCACCCAGAAGTCGACGACGAGGGACAGACTGCAGGACAATCGCAGGACACGGGGTCAAGCCGAGGGTATATATTCAGGCAGTCTTTCGGACACCAATTAAATTTGAAACGTAATTTCACATTTTAACATGATGTTAAAGTCACTTTTATGTAGTGTTGACAAAATGCGCATTCACAGGGTTTTCCTGATATTAAAGAAATTTATTCTCATTGTCTCGTTCTCACTGTGTGTGTGTGTATATATACATATATATACACATTAGCTTTTTACTGTCGAGATCATTTACAGCTTCCACACATAATTATTACATTTAAAATAAAAATGAAACAAATTAAACAACCATTTCAACTTTTTAACAGGAATATTTCCTTCGTTGTTAGCTGTAGTAAAACGGCACAACTCTGTTTATCAGTGACCTGCAGATGGGGCATTTCTTGGGCTTTGGCAGTGCGTCATAGCACATAGAGCAGGCACACACGTGACCACACTCCAGGAAGACGTAAGCGCGCTCGCCGCTGAGGCAGACCACGCAGCTGGTGGGTGACAGGCTGCTTTCGTCCAGGTCACCCTCACCCTTCTGTTTCTTCTGCTGCTCTATGAACTCTTTGAGCATTCTGCTCTCCTCCTTCTTCTGTCTGTGGTGCACGTATTTCTTCCACAGGATGATTATGAGCATGGAACAAGCGGCGATGCCTGAAACGAGAGTCAAAATCCTCCACAGTCTGACGCTTTGCTCCTGCTTCCTCAGCAGACACTTGTAGTCCTGTCGGGTGAGGAAGTAACACAGACCCTGCTTGGGCGGCTGCAGCTTGATCATGTTGTTATCCTGGACCAGCTCTCCCACTCCAGTGACAGTGTCTCCCACCCGCAACATCTCCTCGATTTCGTGTATTCCCTTTGGTCGTTCCCCACTGATGAAGTGGCCGATTACGCTGGACAGGGACTGGACCGTGGGGTGGAAGTTCTCGTAGGTGGTCTCTAAGTCCAACTCTGCAGCATCCAGCGGGCGTATGACTCGGACTGTGGCGGCGATATCTTCGTCATGAGATCCCAGGGCAAAGGGGACGGTGTTGGTGCGCTGGTGAATGACTTTCTCTGTGCGGTTCCTGTTGAATAAAAAGAAAAGAAACTTGTCACCAATGTGTTGATGTCCAGTGTTAATAACCTAACCATCTGGTGAACCTACTAGGAGTCATAGAGGTGAGAAGTGATGACATATACAACTGTAGATCTGGAGACTGTTGACAGAGACTGTTGTTTCATTGTGGTGGTCCTAACTAACTCTACCGTAGTTCTACTGAAACATGAAACTGCCATAAGGAAAATTAGGGAAATAAAAGCTTTGATCTGTCGAACGTTAGTCTGTAAATACAGACAATTACAAATAAAGGACACTGACTTTGAAGTGTTAAAACTGAGACTCAGCACCAAAAAAAAGAGTGAACGATGGCAGTGATGTCACAGGCCCCAGGCCTTTTATATACACATAAAAAGAGAACCCTACAATCTAACATTGTCATGTATCTGTGAAGACTGAATGGCTAATGAGTAGCTACATTTAGCCTGATTGTTTTGTTGGTTTCCTGCAGCTCCTGCTTTTATTCCAATGTTTTGCTGAATCCAATCACTGACCTTTATTTTCTTTCAAGGAACACACAGTCCAGAATCAGAACTTAAAGTAAACATTTAAACTCACAGGCCCCAGGCAACTCAAAAATTTGTAGGAACTCAAAAATCAGACTTCAATCAGATCGAAGTTGAACTGTCTGGCTCCGACTGTTTTTCTATTGTGGTCCAAACCTTACAGAAGGACATTTGTTTTAGAGCAATGTGACAGAAGAAACTTTGAAGGATTAAGAAGGAAAAGAAAATCTGGAATAATTTATAAAATAATGTTTAGACATTTTGAGTAGTAAAAGTAGTGAAATTAGACCTTTCAGTTCGATGTTTCTTTTCTGGGGCATGATGTGAGTGCACTCTAGACTGTCTAGACTGAATGTAAAAATGTATGAATGTGAGAGCTCTGGTCTAGACTGAAGACAACAACGATGTATATAACGTGTTTAGAAATGGTCAAAAGTCTTACCAGATGTGAGTGGTCCGACTCCACACCATCTTTTCCTCCTTCAGCGTCAGTCTTTCAATGACACCTTTACAGTTATCCACAAACTGGCTGCTCAGAGTTTCCTTCACATTTCTCACTACACCTGCAGTGCGCAAAACAACAGTGGAATTGCAGAATTATTATGTTGACAAAGAGTGGCAGACGGTTCTGCCTCACCTCACACCGACTGTTCACAGCTGTCATGAACAAGGAATTCTTATTAGAATGCCTGCATCCACATAAACACACACTGACGACAAAGCAGAATGTACATTTAAACACAGAATTAATACCACCTTTCAGAGTGACAACACACCTTCTATCACAGCGTACGGGACACATCTTCCAGGGGTTTCAGACAAGAGGTTTTGTAAGTTATTGTCAATGGACACTTTCTTGGCTTCCTGTCAAACAGATTTCAAAGATTAACAAAAGAGGTGACATTCACAAGACAAAGATCAGACAGAACAGAAATATCACTGACCTTTAAACTGGCAAATGTTGTAGCTTTGCTCTTATAAAGAGAGTAAAAGAGCGCAGTCAGCGCCGAGCCAGTGGCTAAAACCACTATCTGTGCTGTCGAGGGTTTCCCATTGGTGTCCATTCTGTGGAAATACAGAGGCACAGGTGAAAAGAAAAATGTAAATATTAGTTTCTATTTGATAGACATATTAGCAGTGACTACTGTAGCCTATAAAATAAAATTTTATAAATAAAGCAGTGACTACTGTAGCCTATAAAATATTCATTTTGTACAGTGAAAGCAGCAATACATTCCATAAAAATATGAAATCTTTCTTTGAGGTTAGTAGTTATAACTTCTTATGTTTTGAATTAAACTTGAACTACTTGAAATACTGTGAGCTTTAAACATGTGATTCATCTTTTATATGCTATGTATTTATTCTATTATATCTTAACTACTATTTATTCTATCATTCTACCTTCAAGGTTGTGTCCCAATTTTCTGATTTTGTTAGCTGTATTATGCCATTACATATTCTATGAAAAATAAAACTGACTTAAAAAAAAATGGAGTTTGGATGTTTTAATCTTGTTTTATACTACTTGTTTTATACTACTTGATTATACTGCCCATGACTTAATGGTTACTGATTTGGTATGATTGTGTTCACTCAATCACTGACAAAAAAAACTGTCTTCAAAAAGGTGATGAAAACAAGTAATTTTGTCGAAAAGCAAATGCCTGGATTGAAATGGTCCACTTATATTAGCTGTTATTTGCAACATGATTACAGTGTTTGCTCTACTAAAGCAAAGTGTTCTTCTATTATGTTCTGTAGCAAAGAAAATGTTCCATCTGGGCTTCCAGGCAATGCTGTCTCTGCTTCTGTTAGTGTTTGGAACGTTTACTATAGTTTTTTCTTTTCAAAATGAAGTTTGACATGTTATGTCTAAATACTAGTTCAACCTAAAGTTTCATGTCTACTTATTTTGTGATGTAGTAGTTATCTTATTTTATTCATTTACTGTATTTAAAATCACATTAAGATGACAAATGCACCACGTTTAACTCTAAATGCAAAGTGACTGTGTTTGATACAATCTTAAACACCTACATGAAAAACAAAGCACTGCTTCATTTAAGGAAATACATAACGTTTATGTAACGTAAACACCTACATGAAAAACAAAGCACTGCCTCATTTAAGGAAATACATAACGTTTTTATACATCATGTTTTTTCATGTTATCTTGTCTTAAATATTTCGTTCACTTTCATGGACATACGCCAGGTTTAACTAGAAAACACTTCCTTTGTTGTCAAGCTTATGACAATCACTGCTAAGAGAAGTAACATCGACAAATGACGACTTTGTTTATTAGCTGTTCAACAACACGGCTCCCTTTTGCTGACACGTCTAATGTAATACTTATAAATAAATGCATGAACGTATGGGACGAAGCCAATGAAGTTCAACTAGAACACCTGCTAGGTCTGTGTGGTCACTGAACTCGGTTAGCAGCGGTTTGCTAGCGGCTAGGTGGACTAGCGTGACATCATTTTACGTTTTAAAAACCACACTAGCGCCAGCTTGTAACAATCGGTGTCTTAAAAAAAAGACCAATCAAACCTGAATATACACATACAGACATAGACTGTTTGTGTATGTCTGTGTCCTTCACCGTCTCAAGAGCATCAACGATGACAACAGCTGAAACGTAAACACCACTCATCACAGAAATGCGATTCTCCTCCCTACCACAGGATGTCGCTGCAGAATTACTAATGCAGTTGGGACGTTCTACTTTGTTAACGTAATTAGGCATAAATAATATAGTAATAGCGTAATAGCATAATGGTAATAATAGCAAAATAAACATCTTACCTATTTACTTACGTACAAAAAACGTTCTATTAATATTGGTTTGTCCACCCCATATTTATAAAGCAAGTTATGTTTCTAAGCATTGTTTTAAAACTACTGTGTTTTAATTGTAATCCAGCAAAATATACACAAAGATTTAATCAATATTTATGTTAACTACAATCTGTTGTTTTGTCTTTTTAGCCTAAGAATCTTATTACAAAGGTGTACTTTTAATTTACCCACCAGTTTCATTATTATAAGACTTATGTTTCTAAATGTAATCCTAACATGTCACTGTCAATATTTGGTTAAACCACATACTTGGTTAAACCCACCTCAACCTCAAAGGTTTTAATGATCACAGAGGGAAAGGATACCAGAAAAAACAACCCGTCTCTGCTGGTATCCGTCTGACATCCTGTCTGAGATGTAAGCGATAATCCTACAAGAATTCACACCTCAGATTTTCAGGGTATAGGTGTTACCTTGTACACAGCTGCAGCCAAAGAATAAAAATGTCCCCAGGCCTTCAGTTCACTATTAATCAGCGTGTTTGCTGTAAGTCTTCTTTGCCTAACCCTCTTCACACACAAGTTCCTCTTTGTTCTTATCACATTATCACTTTTTCTTAAATGCCAAACTGGAACACATTCAGTTGGATTTCACAGACAAGAGGGAGGGTGGAAGGAGGGGAGGTAGGGGACGGAGGGGAGGGAGAGCAGATGGAGGAAACAGCTTATTGAAGGGCACAAGAGCTGTGAGGAACATCGTGTGTGGGGATGGTACCACAAGAGCTGTGAGGAACATCGTGTGTTGGGATGGTGCAGTTTTTTCATGTGAGGAACATCGTGTGTGGGGATGGTGCAGTTTTTTCGAGATGACAGCTCAAATGTACGATGTGATGTTGAATTATTACCATATAACAAGACATTGTTATTTAAACCAAAATAAAATAAAATAAAGTCTTTATAATCTGTGTATAAAGTGAAGCTCAGATGGTGACAATTTGTTTTCAAAAGAAAAAAAAAAGAAGAAAAAAAAGCTAAGTTTAGGACTTTATTTTATTTACAATATTTTGATTTGGGTGAATTATCTCACTTCAGCCCACTAGGCGGCAGTATTGAATCTAAAGCTCTGTTACCAGCCGCAAAGAAAATCCACAGTAACAATTTAGTGACATTGTCATGCATAAAAGTTTGTTCAACAGTGACTCTGTGTCCCTGTGGTAGCCAGTCTTTGTCCTGTAGACAACTAAATACATGAGGTCCGTGGTATACGACATTCTCTACTTAGAGCGATTTGTGGTTATGGCGCCCTCTTCCCTAAAATTATTTAGGTCTTGCTGCATAATTGTGACGTACACCGTTAAAGCAAACAAGCAAACAAGACGGTGCTATATGCAGACGATAGCTTTGTTTACATTGGCCTGTTGTACGTCACTTCTTTCATTTGTTTTTTGGGAACTGTTTGCCCATCATTTCGGCTCCCAAGCATAAGTCAGACCCTTCTGATGTTTTTATGTCCTAGATTATGCTGTTACCAGTGTTTTCGTGTAGGTGAGCGACGTAGGGATTTGTGTGAGTGAGACAGTAAGTAAGTTACGTTGAACCGTAGGAGTGGGATTCTGACTTAAGTCGAGGATATTCTTATCACCTCTCTTTTTTGTGACAAATTGAAATGTTTGGCACATATTGTAATTATTAAAAAAAAGAGACTGAAAGGCTTTGGGGGGCAGTGGATTAAAAAGTGCAAAATGAGTGTCAGAAGCCGATTTTGTATCAACCAGACTTTTGTTATAAGACTTGTGCTCACCTAATCCGCCTAAAGACTGCTTATACTCCCACAGAGAAGAGAAGCAGAAAAAAAAAAAAATTTCGGTTTTAGAGAGACGGCGTCTGAAGGGAAAATTACCCTGGAGGAAAAATGAACTAGGAGTTCTGGGTGTATGATTAAGCTGTTTTGTACAGACTTTGTTATGGTGTCAGAAGTCATAGCCAGAACAGATTCACCTGCACGAAACGCTAATGAAGTTAATGACAGTGAACACGGGGACATCAGCCACGTGCAATTATCTCTGTGTGAATAGGAGATGATGGAACTATTTGTAATTTTATGAATGTGTAAATGTTGGAAAGCAAAGAGTTTGATCATGAATGAATTTTATCATGTACAGTCTAAAAGGGCTCGTGTAGATATTTGATCGATTATTTAAACCTTTCTCTCGGAGTAGATGTCAGGAAGTGATAGCTTGCCCAAGAAACATGTGTAATTAATAGCCATTTCCATCAGTCAGTAGTAACATTCACACTTTATTTATTATTGATTTATACAGTAGGATATAGTCTGAAGTCATGGCAATCCCAGTTTGTGGTTATTTTTAGTTTTTTGGCAAGGGCAGTTGATGCTATTAATCTGATGGAACTAGTTCAAAACCTGTAGAAACACCTGCTGTTGTTGTTTGTCTTTTTGTTCCAACAAAAAGGATCAAGCAAGATTAACTATAATGAATTACAATCACAATTAATTATTAATAACTGCTATCCTGGAACATTCACTAAGACAAATCATCAAGACAAAGACAGATGGTTTAATCACCCGAGTAACTCAAGGGAACCGGATCTTTTAGTGAGTGACCCAAGGCAACCGGAGTCATAAAAAACAAACTAATGAGATCTTTTAGGTTTGAGAGACACCAATTCAAACTCACAGTATTTTGTTGAGGAGAATAAAAAATGAAAAGATCAGATTCAGACATGCAATCATGACAATGTTTAGAATAACTGCTTCATTTAACACTGTCAAGTAACCCTTTCGCCCAATCAGCATCAAAATGAACCCGAACCGAAGAGTTACCAGGAACCAGAATCAATAATCATCGATTGACTAACCCAAACCCTTGACGGCGCTGGCGTTCAGGTAAACATTGAGACTTTGTGTTAAAAATGGCCAGATTTCGTCTTTAACAGCCCAGTGCAATCATCCGCTCATTGATCAAAGAAAGATCAAATCACCTTTGAACTGCCGTTGACATTACAGGGGTAGTCAATCGATCTGCACAGTTCGTCTGATTGGTTCTCAGGGGACCATGAACGTCATTGTAAAAAATTCCAATCATCTGACACCAGCTGTGATATTTCAGCATTGACCAAAGTGATGCTCCGACTGATCCATACTGCCATCCCCTGAGCCAGACATTACATTAAAATTGATCTCCATCGCAAATCCATCTGCAGCTCAGTGCCGTGACTCTGACTTAATACTTCAGCCGGGAGTGTTCTAACCTTGATCTCACCGCGTTCTATCAAAGTGAGAGACCACTCTCGGAATTTTTTTATTTATTTTTTCCTCCCCGGCCCCTTGATTTTAACATCAGCCTGTCCACCATCAGCCTGTCCACCAGCAGATGTTCCATATTTCTGTCCAGCAGAGCAGCCTAATTGAATTAGACTCTTTCTTCATCATGCTACACTTACCCAGTGGACTGTAATCAATTAGAGGGCCCTGGCAGAGAGGGCCACTGCTCTTACACGGTTGATTTATGATTGTGTACGTAAAGGGTAGCAGCAAGTCAGTCAGGACACAGTAAAAAAATAATTTAAAAAAAGAGATGGTGACAGAACAGGGCTGCTGCCCTCTTAGTACATCTGACTGCTGCAGATTATTCTTCTTAGCCCAATCAAACAAGAGCGAGAGACTCACGTTTCACCCAGTGATAACAGGGAACTCAGTTTGTGGAGCTGAAGATAATTCTATGTTTCATTTTTGACCAGGCTTCAAGGCAGGTGTGAATCAATAAAATTCAATTCCAGTCCTATAGATTATCATAGATATGACTGAAAACATAATGAGTTTCCAGCCACTCATTTAGTGTAACGAGCAAAGTGTCTCCCATTCAATTATACGAAAAATGCTGAGTGACGGTATACAAGTGATGAGTCAGCATGTATGGTCAAATGGAGAAAAAAGGCCAAAGGTCACATGTAAATGGTAACACGGACAGATGAGAGGACAATGACAGTGACATGTGCTGCCTTCAGGTGTTATCCTAAGAACTGTACAGACAACCAGCAAAGGGCGTAAGGTCGGAGAGGTGCGAGATTCTACCATGAAAAATTAGGATGTAATTAAAATGATCAACTTCTCACTTTAAGATTTTTCAAATAAATACGTTCAATAGTGTAGCTTGCAATTAATCATGATTAATTCCAGTCATAATCACAGTTATACAGATAAGTTAACTTTTTTGAATATACCAAAAGAAACCCTTTTTTTTTTTCAGAACGCCAAATAACAGCAGTCTTGTGTGTGTCACACCTGTTTTTATTACTGACTAATCCAAATGACGGAATTATTAGAATCGAAAAATGTCAACAGAAATATCCATAAGTATAACTCCAAATTTTGCTTTATGAAGTTGATGGATTTCAGTCACTGCTGTGCATCCTAATGGTGGTTGTAGGACACGTCGAAGGTTGTTTTCAAAACTGGTGTCTAATATCTTCAACTATATTAATCTAAAGTCTAGAGTCCCTCGCAATCCATCCGTGTCTGTTAGCTTGTCAGCCGTGAACTAACTCACTGCCCTGCTCTCATACAGTCGCTGGTAAACGTACATTGGGCATTTAGACGTCTTTTATTTTTTTGGTGAAACAAAAACTTTTTTCCACAGCGTGTGCAAATAACATGTATATTAGAGCAACAATAACAATTAAAGCATGCCAAAATTAATTAACTTAACCGATTAACTTTACAAATACATGAATGTATTTTTTTTATTATTTCAGAGCACTGATAAAACATACGTCAATTGTATTTTTTAATTAAATTAAATTAAAGCAATCAAGCACGTCCTGGCCTTCAATTGTATTTTTTAATTAAATTAAATGAAAGCAATCAAGCACGTCCTTAATACCAAGACCACACCTCCTATACTGTACTGTATAATCGGCTGCCGGGCCTTTAACCTGCCATGCGCAGTTTGTTCACCAATTAGTTCTCCAGTATGTATCATTTAGAATCTATAAAGAGATCACAGCTGCATATACAGGCTGTTTAAAGGCTGTGACTCACCTTGAATGCAGGCGGCTTTATTAATATGCACCACACTCTCTGTCCATGAGAGCCAATTCAAACCAAGCCATCTTTCCTCCGTCCTAACAGAGTGCAGCAGGCCGCTCTCAAATTAGACGTAGGAAAATGTCATTAAATTACACCGCCTTTAGTGTCAGATACAGCACAGCCGAGCTGGCTCCAGACAAAAGAAGCAAACAGCCAACTTCAGATCCCACTTCCACACGGGACTAAATCCATCAAACATGTACAGGATTACATATTCAGTGACAGGCCGATCAATACTGGATCTACTCATTCATTTCTCCAAAGGCCAAACGGCGGCGGATTATTTTTAGTTTGTTGTGTTCATGTCCTTGTGTCTCTTATGTGCTTAGAGATGAGAGATTTCACTTCAGAGCTGACGTGTTGGACCGCGGCCATTTGGAAATGGTTCTTTCATCAGTCTTTGGTGACTCAGAATAATCCAGTTCATGTTGAATACGTTGAGTTAAAGCACTGAAAACCGCCCGTGTCCTCATAATAAATCATATCCTTGAATAAAGATATGTGAAATACTTCCTTTTACTTCTGCACAGCAATGATAGGTGATTATTTTCTGCTCTCACCAGAGTGACAACAGTCAGCACAGAACCTCGTCTCCCACCTCTACATTTTAGTCTTTGTTGCCTGGTGAAGCAGCGGGGCAGATACAGATAAGAACTGAAAGTGCTCATTCAGTGTAACACAATGTAATTATCATTTCCTTTTCATCTGCTCCTTCTCCTTCTGTTTCCGTTATGCATGACAAAGGTATATGTATATATATATGACCTCGGCTTGAACTTAGACCAAACAAACTAGAGATATTTTTAAAAGTCAAGTGTACTTACAAACACCAATGTCATGATATTTTTTTTACTTACTTTCAGTACAACTGAAACAGCACCGTTAACAAAAGCCTACAGTAAAATAAAGGCCAATAGCATTGATAGTAAGCACTAATAGTGCTCAGAATATTATTACAAGTGCAATGCAGTATGCACCAGAACACCAAATACTTTCTCCGACCTCTGGTCCTCTGGTCCTGAAGCAAAATCCTGATCCAAATTAATAGTAAGCAAATACTAACAAACACATACTTTAGTAGTAGTATTAACTTTGTCAACATTGTCAACACACACTCCATCTCAGCTAAGTGACACTCACCAGTTCACTGTAGGAGCAGAGCAGGTGGCAGAGACTTTAATTACCAGCTTACTCTGGTTTTCACCATCACTGAACTTAACGATGCTGCTGTAGGATTCCCACATGAACTCCCATGCATCAACAATAAGGTAGAAATAATATTGAACTGCAGCTGTTTGTATGAATAAGATGCTGGAAGCCTCCATGCTTTGGTGCCGCAGACTGGTTGCATGTCGTGACAATATTTTCGCGGATCAGTCATCGAGGTGTGCCGAATAAACACACCTTGAAATATAAAGTCTATTCAACTTACGGTAATGCTGACGGTAAGGCCAGAGTTTACTGACATTGAGAGAATATTTTTTTAAGTCGAGTCTACGTCTTTTGTTTGTCTGCGTGTTTTAACATGTCAACACACAAAGACAAGATCAGTGCATTATATCAAAATAAGACATCATTCACACTGGTAATCAATAAAATAAAACCTTTTTGTTTGTTTGTTTGTTTGTTTCCTGTATGGCCTGGTACCATTTCTGGGGTCTCTGTACCTAATGAAGAGACCAGGAACCTGTGTGACATGACGACCCTTAATGGGTTAAAGTTTTACCCCCAACATAATCTATGCAAAAGTGAACTTCCCTTTGAAAATTTGACTAGCATTAAACACACACACACATATATATACAGTATGTATATATGGTACAAACACTGTATGTAGGGCAGGCAGTACATTAAAATTCAAAAGTTTCATCAGTATTCCATTTAAACTGCAAGAGCTGAACATTATGTTTCATCACAGACTTTGAAGCATTTTTTTATGCTAAGTTATTGTTAAATTAATTAATTATTTAACTTTAAATGTAACATAATCAGCAGCTTTAGTCTTTTAAAAGTTTACCATGACGAACAATATTGTTTTTTTTTCATTATATGTGGATATTCTTTTAAAAGTTTACCATGACGAACAATAAAGTATTGTTTTTTTCATTATACGTGGATATTTAATATATTGAAATCTGTTTCTTTTTTTCTCATTAGGTAATGTTAATTATGTATGTATATATATTATTTTTAAACCAATAAACAGAGGATTTATCATTCGGCTGAAGAACATCAGAAAGACTTTCATAACAAAAGGACAGTTACATATGTCCCCCCAGAGAGAGGCATGACTCGGCGATGTACTCCCTCCCTCAGCTTTACGAGAATCACAAATACAGTGATACGTCGGTGCAAAGCCGGACAGATAAATAATGCCTTGGTACCGAGCCACTTGGAAGCAAAACAACGAAGCAGGGAGGGGGAGCCGCTGCCAGAGCTCTGGGCTGAGACTCCTGCACTGATCAGCGCTGCATGATGCAGACAACAGAGGAGAAGGAGGTGGAGGAGGAGGAGGAGGAGGAGGAGGAGGAGGAGGAGCGAATCAGGGAAACAGACTGGCTCTCAGCTCTCAGCTCTCAGTCTCCCTTCAGTGCTTCGTAAAGCAGCTTCTCTCCGTTTCCGTCCTCTCTTCTCTCATTTTTAATCTCTCTCTATCTCGAACGCACAGCGCTTTCTGTTTTCTTTTCTTTTTTTACTGCCTGAACTGACAACAGCAAACAGGGAGGGAAGCTTTTCTCGCTTGTTCAAACTACTTTCACACCATGCTGCCCTGGAGGAGGAATAAGTTTGTTCTGGTGGAGGATGAAGGCAAGAATAAATCCAAGAGCCTGGGGACGGGGCTGACCTACCACTCCATCCTCTCCTCACTGCTTCGCTCCTGTCCAGACCTGCTGCCCGACTGCCCCTTCAACTGGGTGGGCAGCATTTTCCACACCAAACGGCAAAAGGTGGAACTGAACAAAGAGGAGCCTGTTTACAATGTGCGCTACCTGGGAAGTGTGGTCACCATCACGGCTAAGGGAGAGGGCTGCACCCAGGAGGCAGTTGCCAAGATCTGGGCTCGGAGCAACTACGGGGAGCAAAGTGTCAAGATGAAGTTGACCGTGGGGCCGCAAGGAATCAGGATGAGTGCAGACAAATCTGGGAAAAAGAAACCCCTTCATCACTTCTCTCTGAACAGAATCACTTATTGCACTGCTGACCCGTGTCAGCCCAAGATCCTGGCCTGGATCTACAGGCACCAGGTCAAAAACATGGCCGTGGTGCTACGATGCCACGCCGTGCTGGTAAGCAAGTCGGGGAAGGCTCGAGCCATCGCGCACAGTCTCTACCAAATCACCACCTCGGCCTTCCGCGAGTTCAAGCGGCTCAAGCGTCAGAGTGATTTCAGGCACTGCCAGCAGCAGCTGCTGGGTGAGGAGGCGGTGCCCTTGATGCCACTGAGGAGGCTGTTGAACGGGCAGTGCCACTACAGGCTGCCTGCTGAAAACCCCGGGAGTGCCACCCGCCTCTGCTCCATTACAGAAGAGGAGGAGGAGGAGGGTGAGGAAGGGGAGGATGACATGGGCAGCAGAGATAAAATGCAGGAGTCACACACGGATGAAGACAAGCAGAAACAGAAGGTTCTGGTCACAAACACAGAGCCGACCCAGTTGTTATCGGAGCTGGACATTGGGGATATTGCCCGACTGGAGCAGTGCCAGATCAACTTTGTGAGTGACAGCAACAACAACACGTTTACATTCATCACCTCTCTGGTGTGACCGTAACGTCAACAGAAGAGAGCGACAAAAAAAAAAAACATTCCTCGTTGGGTTCCTTCACTGGCGCCACCCTCAGGCTCTCTGCCCATGTAAGTGTTTACCGGAAACTTCTCCTGCCAGACGGCAGAGCATCAGACCGCCGCTCTCTGGACTTGGATACTGGTCTGATTGTAGCAATTTGGGGAAGTGTTTACACAGAGGCCTGGTGATGCACAGACTGATGATAGCACAACAACAAACCAGGACGGGGGCCTGACAACACAGCGGTGTTGATGCAGAGACCACTAACCTGCAGCTCCCAGTATTGACCATGTTTGCCAGCAGGGAAACTAACCTGCAGCTCCCAGTATTGACCACCGTGCCGTGCAGGACGTGGTTGTTAGTCCTCGATCACTTATTTTTGTGACTATACCTAATGTTTGCCAGCAGGGACATTTTTTTGGATCGACGTGATATTTTTCAGGGAGGCTCTTTGTAAATTTGTGTAATTTTTCTAGCGTGACAATCCATTAATGGTGTTCCTTCTAAGACTGACCTTTTCGAGTGCCAACGATTGCGAAGATGAATTTTAATAAGGTTTTAATAAAGATCGCCGCCGTCTGACGGGAGACGTCGTAGTTTAGGAAGCAAGCCATTACGTCGACACCTTCGTTTGTGCCATTTGTTACTGTTGCATATTCTGCATGGCATGCCGACGCTAACCTGTCCAAGCCGAGCTTCTGTCTCCGTTGGTCATGTGCTACAGTTGATCTTTCTGCTTCTCTGCCAACACTGTGATGGACGTCTAACGAACGACACAACTGTTATGTAATCAATGTGTTCTTTATCAGTCGCCTTCGATTTGTATCTGATTTGTATCTACGGCAGCGTTATCGCGGTATAATTCATCACTGTTGGGCCTTTTTAGCCATATTTTAAAAATGCAGTCGATCTGTTGTGAACAATATCTGTGCCACTGTTTGGAGCAACGTTGTTATTACTGTGAAATGAAGCGATTTATTTTCCAAATACAATGAATTAAAATGACTGCACTCAGGGTTTCCTGCTTCAGTCTCACTGTGGAGGTGCGTTCAAAGACGTCACTGGAATTATTTCATCCTCACTTTCCACCAAAGTGCATTTGAATGTTGTGATGTGAGAAACAAAACTAACACAGTTACCTGAGCACGGACCGCTGCCTTCAGAGTGGACGAAAAAAAAAACCCATCTTGGAAGGAACAATTTTTGTTCCATCCAAGGTTTCAGATTTCATTGTGCTTCACTACATTCCTGCAGGCCGACTCTTGTCTCCTCAGACCTGTGTGTTCGTGTGCCTGTGAGTGGGTGTGGGGTGCAATTAATCAGTGAATTCCACGGTAAAAGGAACATAAAGCACCTGCCTCGGCAGGATGGCTTGTCAAGCTCTGACAGAACCGAGTGTTCCAAAACACAGACCGGAATGTTGACTCACCCATCAACCGTTTTACTGCTCACGTCAGTGAGTCTGTGTGGTGACCCCACAGCTTTTCACTGGAACAACACAACATCAGCAACTTAAAAAAAAAAACCCAATCATTAGACGCGAGGCGCTGCAGCGTGTTCATGTTTTTGGCTGTGTGCAGATTGGCAGTTTGAGCTGTTATCTCAGACGATACAGTTTAACTGAAACCACTGTGATGAGCTCAGAGGCTGTGGTCAGGGCAATAAAAACACAGGGCAGTGACCGAGCAACTGGCGGCTCGTGGGCCGAATCCAGTCCACTGAACTGTCCAATACAACCCGCGGCTGAATTCTAAAGTAAACATCTGATAATAATGTTAGGAAAAAATGTGATTTTTATTTCATTTTATTTGAATGTCCAGGAATATTCTGGCCCTTCGACACATAGAATTGGTGATCCTGATATAGGGGTTAAAGTATTTAAAGCATATTATTTATTAGGAAAAAAATGTAATGAAAATAATTAATTTTTCTTTGCGCCACAATGGTCTCTTACTGTAATTTATTGTTGTTTTTAAACAAATGAGCTCAAAAGAATCTGCAGAAACTTAAGTTAAGCTTTAAGTTCCTGCAAGAAGGTTATTGGTTCGAATCCCGACTGTAACTGATTCCTTCCTTAATGGAGTTTATACAGATCGACTGATGACTTTTGATTAGTTCTGCAGTTGAATTCTGTGCAGACAGTTAATAATAGACTCTAGTTTTCACTGTTTATACTTTAAATCACTGTTACTAATACAGTGTAGTAAATGAGTTCATGTTCATTGGTATAAGATGTTAAACATGTACAGTTATACATATATATATATATTACAATGTAACAACAGCAGATACATATAATCCCTGCTTCCTGTTCTGGAATCCAGCTTCTGAGAAAAAAAAAAAAGAGTCCAGAGTCCAGGTGTTGCTCTGTTGACGAGTGAGGAAATCATTCTGTGTCTCTTTGAATTACTGAGATTGATTGTTCTGACGGGACACTTTCAGCCGGGTCCTCGAGGATCAATATTTTTGTCTTATTAGAGTAAGCTGCCCCTTAAAAAAAAAGAAAAAGAAAACGGACCGCAGCCAAACGCCAAAAGACAGATAGTAAAGGATTTATGTGCCCTTGCCACAGCTCCAGTCGGGGCAACTGCAGAACGTGAATACTAAGAGAAAGCAATTTTGTTCCTATCTCCCAGCATCTCTGCAGCTCCTTAGCTTTCACCTTTTTCAGACTTCTCCGCGTGGATGAGTAATCTTGAACGCACACAGCGCACATAATGATTTGAGTCCCATTGTTTGCTCGCTGACATTCACGCACAAATACATTGTGTGCTCAGCCAATATTTTGTTTGCATGGGGTTGTTAGCAGAGGAGACGCCGCGCTTTAAGGTAAACACACAACCCCCCGTGCCAGGAGGAGAGGGGAGCAGATGGCAGCAGCGAGGTGCACACTGTGCTTTATCACCGCAATCTCACACAGTAACGAGGCCTCAAACCCAGGTGAGCAGGACTCTGTGTTTGGTCACACCGGAGTAAACGCTACTGAAGAGAACAGAAATCAACCCAACACAGACTCCACACACAGGGCGATCGGGCGACGCCAGCTGTGCCAGTTCACCGCCGTGACGTGTCTGGAGATGTTTCTGTCTGCACGCTGCTGTTCAACACATCCGTGAAACCAGTACAGACGGATGAGCGATGGCAGCTACTCAGCATCAGCTTGTCTCCATCGAGAGAAGGAAGACGAACAGATAGCCTTGTCTCGGAGCAGCTGGCAGCAGCAGGAAATCTGTCTTGTTCCAGTGAGAATTGTACGTGAAAAGTGTGAGAGAACGGCAGCAAAACAATCTGTGCAGAGGGAAGAAGAGGACAGAACCATGAATCATGATGAGACCTTGAAGAAAAACAAACCTGACGGTGGATTTTAGAAGGTAATGATGGGCTGCACGTTAGTTTCCAGTTCAAACAAGAAAAACAAACCTGACGGTGGATTTTTAGAATGTAATGATGGGCTGGACGTTAGTTTCCACATCCAGTTCAAATTTATATCCTGAATATCTCCCACCCTTAACCACCGTCGTCTTGGTGGTTAAGGACGTGGACCTGGGCCCAAAAGGTTTCAGGTTCGAGTCCGCCAGCTGCCATGTTACCACTGAGGTGCTCTGACACTGCTGCCCCCTGCTGACTTTGGTGATGGGTACAACGCAGAGGTCACAGTGGTGTTCTGTGTCAATGACGTTGTTGACTTTCCTTCTTTCCTTCCTTCCTCTGCAGATATTATTAAGAGCTTTTCAATGATACCAACTATGAAGAGGTGTCATACGTTAAAGATTAGGGATTTTTTTCAATCAAAAATGATTGAATGTGGTCTTTATGCTGTATGTGGCCCAGTGATGGATTAACCAAATGTCCAGAGTGAAACCTCGTCTTTTGCCTGATGTTGGCTCCAGCTCTGATTCAACCCTGAATAAAACAGTGGAAAAATACAGATAGAAAAATGAAAATAAATTCTGGGGTTATGGGGTTTTTTTTCTGCATATGTAATAAATGCTAATATATGTTAAATTTTTTTTTTTTTTAGAATAGTGTCTCCATTAGCATTTGTACGTTCCACTTGTGTGGCTTCAACTATCCTTAAAAGGGGGAACTTGGAGTAGAGCTGCAGACAAAAGTACATTCTCATAACACAGTTTTTAGCATAGCCAATACATGCTAAGATAGCGCTACATCGTTAAAGCATGACATCGCTGGTTCAAACCTTGTTGCTAACTGATTGCATTTTACCACAAAAGAAAGTGGGAGACTTTTTTAAATATTGCTGATTCAAAGTGATGTCGCAACGAGAAAAACAAAATTCTCTCAAAGCTCAACTTTTAACAGCTGGACTTGCAAACACTTGCAAGTCCAGCAAGTTACAACCTGCAAACAAAAGCATAACTCAGCCTTTTCTCAAACACTTTTTTTTTCTCCAGAATACATTAACAACTCCAAAGAACATGTACCTGAAATAGTTATAAATCAAATTGAGCTGAGGCATCAAACCGTCTCCTGCAGCCCAAACTGTTTTGTTAAACCCTCTGCACCACCACCTATACAGTTAACTAATTCATGAGAATGAAGGATTAGTTACTGCCATGAAACATTAATAGAGTGTTCTCATTAAAATGTGATGAAGACAAACAAATAGACTCAAGTCTGAGATAAGAAAAGAAAAATGAAAATAGATGACACGTATCAGGTGAGACACACGTACAATCTGTGATGATATAATACTTTAATATTCAGTTCAACCCGCGTCTGTTATGCTTACATTTTAAACTGAAATATATTACATTTCCTTCTGTTTCATATCCTGCAGTGATTGAATCCTGTAATCCTTCTGACGTGTCTCGTTCCTGCTTTTATTTTTTTATGACAACTGTTTTTTTCTACAGATAAAGTAATAAAAAAAAATCCCCAATTACTGATAACACGATCTTCAGATAAGAGCAGATAATGGTACGACACCTACGTAATACAGTTTGATGACGGTGTCACACAGCTGCCAAGGCTACAAAAACAGAA